AACTGTCTCTCAAATATGATGACGAAATTAGGGCATTTCCAGATAAACAGGTTTAGGGAATTTGCAAAAACCAACTCAGAAGAAGGGAGAGGGGGATGATAGCTGTTGGATAGTCAACCAATATGCCTTCCAGAGTTCCATTCTGCAGATAATCATCAGCAAGCAAGATAATCACCAGCACTGTACATCATCATTTCATACTATACTCTCTCCCTTCTAACCTTCACAATCTTAGTTCCACAACTAACAACATATTTAATGCTCCCCAGCAGTCCTTATGTTGTTGTCTCTCTAGTGATTTTGTTTGTCTGAAGCTCATTCTCTATTAAATTCCTTGGAAAGGCTTGTGGGAATATAATTCCCAAGTTCTTACATATTGATAACTGTGCCCTTTGATAGTATTACTGGATATAAAATTATTGTCTCACCCTTTTTTTTCTTGCATATCTTAAATATGTTATTCCATTTTCTTCTGGCATTAAAAGTTGCTGTCATACAGGCTGATAAGAATCTGATTTTCTTTCCCTTATAAACCACTTGCTCCTTATGCCTAGATGTCTAAAGTATTTTTTTTTTCTTTTTCCTTGAAATTCATTAATTTTACTAGAATATGTCTTGGTATAGAACATTCTGGGGCAGTATTCTCAGATACTATTCCCAGGTATGTTCTTTCAAAATGTAGTTTTAGATCTTTTACATTTCAGGAAAGTTTTCTTGAACTAAATTCACTTTTTGAATTAAAGATTTAGTATTTGCTCTCTTCCCTTGCGTTGGCTTTTTTCTTCAGGGACCTGCTGTATTTAAAAAAACTGTTGCCATCAAGTCGGTTCTGACTCATAGCACCCTATAGGACAGAGTAGAAGTGCCCAAACTGCTCCATACGGTTTCCAAGGAGCGGCTGGTGGATACAAACTGCTGACCTTTTGGTTAGCAGCTGAATGCTTAACCACCGCACCACCAGGGCTCCTGTTGTCTATATACTGGATACTAATTACCTATCTCTAGTATTTGTCCCTGTCTCTTGAAACCTTTTTTAAAATTGATTTCTTTTTTGACTTTTATAATTATCCTTCTTTTCAGCTTCTGTTTCTCTTAAGGTATTATCCGTTGTGTTTATTTGCTCTTATGTTCCTTTTTTATTAAGTAATGATGGTTTATTTACATTTTACATATGATGTAACTAAAGTTCAGCAAGGTTATTTGAACATCTCTTTATAACAAAGGGAGGAAGCTCATTTTAACACAGAGGTAATTTTGCCCTCTGCTGGTGGTTAGAAGCTTCTGCACCATTTTTTGAAATAATTGTTTTTCAACATGAGCATTAGATGAAGTCAGCATGTGGATTAGTTATGCATGATTTTTTTTTTCTTCCCTTGGGGTTTTTTTGTTTGTTTGTTTGTTTGTGGTAAATATGTATGTATGTCATGTTCCTTTTTAAGTTTCTATTCTGAAATGATGTTTTTTCTTTTATTTCTAGTTCTTTCCTGAGTCTATCACATAATTTCTGAACTTTTCTAATTCTGCAATGTGTTGTTCTTCCTGACATAATTTTCCTAATGTTTTTTAGCTTCTTTGTGATGGTGGGATAGAGTTCTGATCTATTTCTCAAATGCTTTCTTTGTCTCCAGGGATGTTATTTCTATTCCTTATTCTCTTATTCTCTTTTTTCTTGTAAGAGCTATGTATGGGTTTTGATGGTGATACTTTTCATTGCATATTTTAGAAATTAGATTCCCTGAACTTTTAGAAGGAGGCTTAGCTCCGAATAGTTTTCTAATGCCTCAGTTACCTTTTCTATTGTTTTTCTGTAGTATTAAAAAAATAGTGGCTTACTTTCTGGTTTCTGTTTCCCTCCCTTACTTTATCTGGACCTGTTCTTTTCTTTTTCTTTATTGCTTCTATTCCCAGCAGCATCTTCTTAGTGCTGGGCCCTGTTCCAGAAAGGAGCCTGGCTCGTTGGTTTCAAGAGCCCATAACACACAGACTGCTTCTGCCCCCACAGACTGCTTCTGCCCCTATAGACCTGTATTCATTTCCTAGGGCTGCTGTAGCAAAGTACCACAAGTTAGATGGCTAAAACGGAAATTTGTTCTCTCACAGTTCTGGAGGCCAAAATCTAGGTGTCAGCAACCCCATACTCCCTCCAAAGGCTCTAGGGGAGGAATCCTTCGTTGCCTTGTCCTAGCTTCTGGTGGCTTCCACCAGTCCTTGGCATTCTTTAGCTTGTAACTGCATCCCTCCACTCTTGGATTCCAACTGTACATGGCTTTTTTCCCTCTGTGTGTCTGTGGGTCCTCTCTTCTTTTTTGTAAGGACACCAGTCTTTGGATTTAGGACTCACACTGATACACTATGACTTCTTCTTTACTTCATTACATCTAGAAAGACCCTGTTTCCAAATAAGGTCACATTAACAGGTACCTGGGGTTAGGATTTGAACACGGGGGACAAAATTCAGCCCACTACAAGACCTTACCTCACCTACTATTGGAATGGGCTAAACCCCTTCCAGTTTTACTGGCTGTTCTCAAATTGGCCCTCTGCTTTCCAGTAAATTCCTGCTGACTGTCTTGGAGCTTCCTATTCTCAGGTCTGTTAGGTGACTCATTGTTTCCCTCTGCTTCCTTCCTCACAAATGGTGATACCATGTGGGTCTTGAGGCTGTAGGTGGTGCAGGGGCAGATTAACTAGTAAGCACGGTATGCACGGGCTTAATTGTGTTTAGTTACTAATCTGTAGTGCACAATTTCACCTGTCTTTCACCACATCATGCACCACAACCTATGCATACCTTGCTTGTTGGGTAATCCATCCCTGCTGGCTTGTCCTCACCCACTCGTATTTTAGGGTGTGTGAGGATCCCTTGTCTTCGTTTTGTTGAAAATGGTATTCATACGTTTTTGGTTTTGCTATCTAATTGCTCTGTCATTTTTATGTGGGGATTTGGGAGATTTCAAAACTATGCTGCCACTACCACCATCTTACCAGAACCCATTCTGGCATTCTTTTTTTAAATTTTTTTTTTATTGTTGTAGTTCAAATGAAGTTTACATTTCAAGTCGGTCTCCCATACAAAAATTTATACACACATTGTTCTGTGACCCTAATTGCTCTCCCCATACTGTGACAGCACACTCCTCCTTTCCACCCCGAGTCCCCATGTCTATTCAACCAGCTCCTAACCCTCTCTGCCTTCCCATCTCACGTGTGGACAGAAGCCACCCATTTAGTCTCTTGTAGCAACTTGAGCTTAAGAGGCAAACTCCTCACAAGTATCACTTTATGTCCCACAGTCCAGTCCAATCCCTGTCTGAAGAGTTGGCCTCAGAAATTGTTTTAGTTCTGGGCTGGTAGAGAATCCAGGGGCCATGCTTTCTGGGGTTTCTCCAGTCTCAGTCAGACCATTAAGTATGGTCTTCTTACTAGAATTTGAGTTCTGCACCCCACCTTTCTCCTGCTCCATCCGGGACTCTCTGTTGTATTCCCTGTCAGGGCGGTCATTGGTGGTAGCCGGGCACCATCTAGTTCTTCTGGTCTCAGGCTGATGAAGTCTCTGGTTTATGTGGCACTTTCTATCTCTTGGGCAAATACTTTCCTTGTGTCTCTGGTGTTCTTCATTCACCTTTATTCCAGGTGGTTGGGACCTATTGATGCATCTTAGATGGCCATTTGCAAGCTCTCAAGACCCCAGATGCCATTCTGGCATTCTTTTAAAAGATTATTCTTTTTATGTGGAGCAAAGACTGTTAGATGTTGGAGGCAAGGCCCAAAGCACGGAGATAAGTTAGAAAGGTATTGCAGTGATGCAGTGAGAGATGATGGGAACTTGGGCTGTGGCGGGGCAGTTGTGGAGGTGGTGAGAATTGGTTGGATTCTGGGTGTATTTTGAATGTACAGCCAACAAGATTTGATGTTCAATGGGTGTGTTGTATGTGAGAAAAGAGTCAAAGATGACTTTAAAGTTTTTGACTTGAGCAACTGGAAGAATTGAGTTCCTGTTTACTAAAACTGGCAGATTGCAGGAAGAATAATTTTTGTGGGGAGAAATCAGAAACTCAGTTTTGGACCTGTTATGTTAGGGTTGCATATTAGACATCCAAGTGGAGATGTGGCATTGGTAATTGCTTGAATGGGAGTTGAATTCAGGGAGCAATCTGGGCTAGGGACACAAATCTAGGAGAAAACAGATGGTACGTAAAGCCGTGAAACAGGATGAGATCTCCTAGAGAGTAAGTGTAGATATAGATGAGATCTGAAGACTGAGCTTTGTTTAGTGCAGCAGTGTAGATCTAATTTCTGAACATTTTGATGCTTTTTCCTCTTTTTATACAAAGTTTTAACACAAATATTGAAATTGGCGTACAACCAGTTCTAAAAAAGTTAAGGGGAGGCCAGGTTCAAGGATCTTCCTTAAGGCAAGTACTGAGAACTGGCATGTTCAACATCATTTCCAGCTTCCTTCCAGTGTGTATTTCTGTTCTGCGGAGGCTGGAATGCTACAGACTACATTTCCCAGACACCCTTGCAGCCAGGTGTCGTGATTTAGAACCCACCGGTTAGATTTACTTGAGACTTCAATTCAGGATTAAGTAGGGAAGAGAGGCAGGGCATACGCTATCCATTTTGCTGGTGCAGATCATAGCAGTGTGTTTTTATAGCTGGCAATGTGGCAGTTACATCCCAATTCACCAGGTAGAGAGCCTTATTTTTTCTTTTCAGCTTTCCCAATTATTCTGCAACCCATTTAATATTCTGTAGTAGTTCCCTTCCTGCTTATACTAGCTAGAGTGAATTCTGTTCTCTGCACCTCAACCCTAACTAATAAATTGCCTCAGTGGGTCTGGTGTTCTGTGTGTGTGATGTAGATGTATGGGTAAACTCACTTAGGAGCAGGGAGTGTGTGTGTGTGTGTTGTGTGCTTACATATTTAGGGTGAAGAAGGAGATTGTGTATGGACTCTGGAGGGTACTTATGGATAATTGTAGCATGTGCCCCAATAGCAGAAGATGAAGAGGACAACTTGAATACGAAATTCTTGACGTCCAAGTTCCAGGGCCAGCCCAGCGATGCTGTGCACATCTTTTGTGGCCAGGATATTGGATTAGTGTGGCCCTGGAAGTCTCTCCCAAATACTGGAACCCTGGAGGTCCGTGGGTACCGCCTGCAGGGCCAGTACTTGACCCCCAATTACAAGCAGCTGCAGGAGGACCTAGACAATAACCCTCGAATCCAGCAGGCAATGACTATACAACAGACCCTGATGGAGGTGAGAACAGACGTTTGAGGAGGGGGATGAGACCCATCAATTCCCGTCATAGCCACCCACCTCTGCCCTAAGCTCCTTGTCTGCCCCTAGGGCATGCTGTGTGAGGTGCAAGAATTCTGCAGGGAATATCACTGGGTAACAGACATTTATGAATTCCTGCAAGCCTGGGGGTCTCAGCAGCTGGAGGCCATGAGAGGCTGCCCCATCAAGAACTATGTAACGCTGGTGAGCCACCTGAATGTTTGGCAGGCCCGTGTCTCCAGTATGCCTATCGAGTTGCTTACAAAAGGCAAGTTGCTGCTGCTGAGCTGCCGTGAAGTACAGGCAGAGATGGGTGAGTGTTTCTTGTCCTCTTTTCTTTTCTGCCTCCTTCCTTACCTCCATCCACATGGCCCTCCTGGTGCCTGAAATGTTCTTCAGGGACCTTTGGTGCAGGACCCTCATTGGACCCAGGGAGCCTTCCAAAGCTCCAGGTCCCAGCCCCTTTCCTTTACAATCAAAACACTGTGTGGTCACTACAGAGGACATACCATCTGTCTTGGCCTTTCTTATTCCTTATGCTCCTTAGGAATCATGTTCTTGCCATGTGACACTTTCTATTCTTACAGTGTGGAAGTAGTTTAAAACAAATGTGACTGAAAACATTCTTAGCCTGTGCTATTGAGCTCAGTTTCTGCACAGAAATTCTTGGCAATCTGACATGCTGCATTCCCCACATGTAGAAGAGTCAAACTTGGATGTGTAATAAGTTGAGATTCTCTTTAACTAATCTTGTCTTGCTCTATAGTCATAAATTCTGTTAATGGTGAAGGAAAAACATAACATTCCCAATTAAAGAGAGCACTTTTCGTTTAAAGTAGTCACTTTTGGTCTAATTTAGTCTACCTTGAATATCCATCAATTCAAAATCGACACTGCAGTTCTGGCTGGGTTTTTATTCTCGAGTGTTCTCTGCTCCTTTGCCTTCCTAAGGTGGCATCTGGCATTGGGGGAGGATCCTCTGGCCTGTGTGCTCTTCTTTGCTATCTCTTGTGACCCTCATTGAGGTGTCATGCATCATTACCTGGTCCCTGCCTCCTGACGTAACTGCTTCTGATGATGATGGGTCCTGGACTGCTATAACTGGCTTGTGTTCTCTTGGCCTAATCGAGGCCCAGAGTGTCTCCCTTTGCTAACTCAATCCCACCTTGGCTCCTGCTGGTGTTACAGATCCTTGGAGCTTTAGTGAATCCTTCATCCAGTCTGTCTTAGGATGACCATCTTACAGCTTCTGCTTCAGGGTCCTTCACCCCTCAGCACAGGAACCCCATCTCGGCCTACTGGCTGTCAGCTCTTGGCTAGCTTCTGTATCATCTACCATTTAGAAGCTGTGGGGGACTTGGGAACGTTATCTTTAGCCCTCTTCCTGCCACAACATATCACATCATGATTTCTACTATGTTGTGACTGTCTCACGTTAGCACAAAAACACACTACAGGGTGGTCTCTTCTTGCCACTACTGACCTCCACTAGGCCAGGGCCCAGTTGTTGGTATCCAGGGGTTTCAGAGAAATCTGGTTCAAGACTTAGTCTTGTCTCCTCTTGTCTCTTCCTCCTTCCCATGGGAAGGATGTCTCATGCTGTTGTGTATTAGTTAAGTGCCTCAGAGTAGGAGCTGAACTTGGAGAGGATTACAGTGGAGTAGACTTGTAAGCCAGTGATTTGTTCTAGGAAACAGAGAGGTTGTTCCGTTTCCTCACTAACCCCCATGGCTGGCAGTATCAATAAAGTCCACTTCCTACAGAGACTAGATACTATTGGACCCACTGCCCCCCTAGAACCTCCTGAAGGTGGGAGGCCTTGGAACTGGGGCCTGAAAAGAGTTTTCTTGAAAGTGCCTGCCTGGCCCTGCCTTTGCTCACAGATGAAGCACATGCCTCATAAGGTATCTTATAGGCCACAAAAACTCCCCACTCTTTCCCCTGCCCTCGCCTCCCGTATCATATGTATAGGGGTTCAGGTTGGCAAGGCAGGAACAAGGAGGACCTGTGACTGGTCTGCTTTCTTTTTGGCCCTGTTTTGGGCAGGCTTTGCTCCACTGCTGCTCTGGAAGTCTGTCTTCTTTTTCTAGTTTGTTAGGTTCTTGCTCCTTAGTCCAGGATCAGCTGGTCTGTCTAAGAGGGGCAGATGGAGACAGAAAAGTACAGGGTTTGTTTTTCACCTGCTTTGTGACTGCAGATCACTGAACTTCACTTTTTTAATTTGTAACATGAGCATAATAATACTTAACTCATTGAGTTATAAAACCAAACTCGTTGCTGTCAAGTCAATTCCAACTTATAGTGACCCTATAGGATAGAGAAGAACTGCCCCATAGGGTTTCCAAGGAGCGTCTGGTGGATTCGAACTGCCGACTTTTTGGTTAGCAGCTGAACTCTTAAACCACTGTAGTGAGGACATGTTCTTTGTAATACTAACATTGAGTCTGGCATGCAGTAGGTGCTTAATAATTTTTTCATTTGACTTCACCTCCCTCTGTCTTCTCTCGTCCTTCTCACTGATCTAATTTTATCTTCTTATCCTGCAGCTCTATTCCTCTTTCTCCTGGCACCCTTCAACAGTGAATGGCATAATTATCCACTCTGATCAGCTGGTCTCACCAGAAACCTGGAGTCGCCCGTTACTCCTCCCTCTTCCTAACCCTGCCACATTCAACCTATTGCCAAGTCCTTTCCATTCTTCTGCCTTCTAAATACCTCTCAGATCTGTCTCCCCATCCATCTCCATCTTCCAATCCCAAGGAACCCTGGTATTTTATGCATCTACTGCCATTGCTCCTTGATACCACACAGTGTCGCTGTTGAGTTCCTGTCTGCCTTCACCTGCCTGATGCTACTGTTCCAAAAGCAGCAGCACTGCAATGGCCTGGCTACTGTCATAGACCAGAGGGGTATTTTGAAAAAAGACGTGTTCACATCCTCAGTGTTCTGTTCAACCGAGGGTGCCCCTCAATAGTTTCCCTCTCCCTGGGCTTTCTCAGTCTCAGTTCTTAGTGCTCAGTTCTCTTGGGCATGTCCTCCAAGTCTCCAAAATTGTCTCAATTATGTCTCCAGTATGTCTCAATTATCTATCTCTGCAACTCACTCTCCCACTTTCTAATTGCAGAGATGCCCACAGGGGATAGGCTGATTTACTTTTCACACCTCAAAACAGAAAATATGACAGAGTGGCACCAGGCTGCCTTAGTTTGAATCCTTCCTCTGCCACATATTAACTGTGTGGCATTGATCAAGTTACTTAATCTCTCTGAGCCTCAGCTTTCTTGCTTATAAAATAGGGACAATAATAGTATCAACCTCAAAGTAGTTTTATGAGGATTAAATGAGAGAATACAGGTAAAGTACCTGAAATAATGCCTGGCATGTAGTAAGCACTCTATACTGTATTCCGTGGCATACTGTGTACTGTATTTCTATACTGTATTTCACTGTTCTATGCTTATTTTAACATCTCTGAACTCAAGAGGTCATGATTGGTGGCATGCCAGAGTTTACATAGCATAGTTTTTCTTTTTTTAATGGTATGTAAAATAGTGGTGCTTCTTATAATTAGTAGTATCTTAGATTTGATGAAGTATCATATTGATATTATTCCTGCTCTCTGAGACAACGGAATTGTACATATTACTGAGGAAGGCTTCCAGGATTCTCTTCTAGCCCCATACCCAACTGACAGCCCCTGTCTTTTAATGCTTAAAAACAAAAGACAGATTATACCCACTTCTTGGCACCTCTTCTACAAAAGCATAGGCAATAAGACTCCCCAAACAGAAATCTTCCATCTCTGTTAGGGCATTCTGTTATTCATGAACATGTCATTTCCATGCCTTTGCACATGCTGCTTTATCTACTTGGTATGCCTTTTTCTCTTTGAGCATTAACTACTCAACACATTCAACTCCAATGTCCCTCTCTCTGAGGAGGCCTTCCCCAGCGTCCTCAGGCCTCTCCTCGCTGTGCCAGGTTGAGGGCTCCTGGGTACTCCAGGGCATTTATCACACTGGTTTGTGATTCTCTGTTTATATGTCTGTCTCTGCCACCGTATTGTGGGCTTCTGAAGGTGGGGGCACTTTCTTTCTCACTCATTCACTCTTGTCTACTGGTGCACAGCCCAGGACCCAGGGCATAGCAGCTGACTGGACACTGAGCAGGGGCCGAGTAAGCATTCAATGAATGAGAGAACGAATGCATGGTCTGGCTTCCTTTTAAGCTCCACTCCCCCTCTCGACCCCAAACATTCTGCCAGTACCCCTTCTTTTCATGTATCCCCTAATACCTGACCCTCTTCTGTCTCCAGAATCCAAGCTGGACAACATCAGGAAGGACATCCTTGCACAGGTGCAGGATGAGTGCTGGAGCCGCACTCAGCAGCTAATGACAGAGCTCACAGATTTCATGCAGATCTTCCAAACCATCAACTCTGACATTCATGCTATTGCACGGTGCTCCCAGAAGGTGGGCTCTCCCTCACCAAGCTTGCCTCACTTATGCAGGGCCCATCCTCCTCAGATATTCAGCATACTCTCTATAGGTCTTCCCTGAGCTCCTATTGGCGCTTGATACTCTTAAACTGTGCTCACCGATGTGTTCTGCCCTTGTTAATTCTCCCCCTGGGGAGGCCCTGATGTGATGAGAAAGATGTAGTCCTGCCTTCAGAGTCATAGTGTTGCTCTCTGTGGCACTCAGACAGATAGGGACATGTTGCCCTGTCATCAGGGTGATGGTCTGGTGGGCAAGGAACTGTGCTGGCTTTAGAGAGACCTGGTCAGATGGTCCCTGATACCAGCTGGCTAAAAGGCTCCTGCTGGGATCTGGAGCCTCCAGAGGGTAGTAGTGTCCCCCAGCCCGAAGGGGTGTGCAGAGTTAGGGGGTGCTGATCTCATGCTGTAGTCCTTGCAGTTGAATGAAGCCAATGAACAGTACGTTGAGCTGGAAGATCGAATGGAATACATACGATCCCTTCATGAACTCATCCGCAACCACTTTAGCCTCTTTAGTGCTGAAAATGAGGCGCTAGACATCTCGGTGAGAGGACAATTCAGGGAGTCACCCATCCCACCCACTTCCCCTCCCCACAAAAAACATCTACTGGACTGCCCTCTGCTTGCCTCACAGCTACTGGACACGTGGGAGGCATTTCAGTTTGAGAAAAGCCAGGCGTCAGAGTTCCTGCTCAGCAAGCGACATGCCATTGTGCCCAAGCTGCAGCAGCTGATGGCAGCAGCATTGGCAGAGCTGGACGGACTGCTGGAGAAGGCCTTGTCTGGTCCCTTCATGGACCCTGCGCAAGAGCAGAGGAGCACCGAGCGCCAGCTCATCTCACTGGAGCGTCAGTTCCAGAACACAGCCAGCCACCTCAGTGAACTCCACCACGCTTATGTCACCTTCACTGGTACTGAGCACCCCGCCCCTTCACCAGCTCCCTGAGATAGACCCTTTCTCACACTAAGATGAGGTTTGGGACTCAGAAATCACATACCTTCATTAGTCTCTTTTATAAATGAAAATTATAGAATAAAACCCTTCATACGTTGGCTATGTCAGGTGATATATTTAGAGTAGAGATACAGGGGAGTCACAGTCTGGTGGGGAAGGCAGATAGTTTTTTTCAATATTCCTCTTCCATCAAAGGATATTTGCTTTTAATCCTCAAGTTTGCATTTATCTTTTCATCTGTCTGGAGCTCTGTTTCTTACAGAGGGAGTTATTTGTCCAATATTTGATGTTGAGATAACGTCTATCAAAGGTTGTATGGATCTCTAGCTAGATCTTTTGAGTTCAGACAAAGGAGATTGGAAGAGTTTAGATTTACTGTAGTTTTATTTTGTCAGATCAGAGCTCTCATAGCCTATCAACTCTCAGCCTTTTAATATTCTAAGAGCGCTATGATGGATGCTGTCCACATGTGTAAGATTGTCCTGTTCAGGATCCCTATCACTTGGGTGTTTTCCTCCCATTCAAGAAAGTATACTGAAATTCAAATGAGTAAGGATGACAGTCTTATACTGATAGCCTTCAATCTGGTCTTGTTTCTTTTGAGTAAATCGCAAACCTCAGCACTATAATTATTATTAATTATAAATTATTTTTGACACATATCTCACAACTGGTCATAAACAAAAGGTTAAGAACTGATATGGTAGCTTGTGAGATGAAGGCAGGGAATTATTGTCAGAGGTAAACACAACAGGGAGCTTCACCCTTTACTCCTTATGGTCCTCTGTGTGGGCTGGCTCTTTATTCATATGCATTTCACTGAACTCTCCTGGGCTGTGAGTCCATCCATTTATTCATTCCACATATATTTATTGTCTAATATGTACCAGGCACTCTTTTAGGTACTTGAGGTATATCAATGAACAAATGACAAAAATCCCTATACTCACAGACTAACATCTAGTTGGGGGAGGAAAACAATAATTAATAAGCATAAAATATAACTAAATTATGTGGTATGTTGTTGTGGTTGTTGTTAGGTGCTATCGAGTCACTTCCAACTCATAACAACCCTATGGACAAGAGAACAAAACACTGCCTGGGCCTGCGCCATCCTCACAGTCGATGTTATGCTTGAGCACATTGTTGCAGCCACTGTGTCAGTCCATCTCATTGAGGGTCTTACTCTTTTTCGCTGACCCTGCACTCCACCAAGCATGATGTCCTTCTCCAGGGACTGGTCCCGCCTGATAACATGTCCAAAATATGTGAGACGAAGCCTCACCACCCTCGCTTCTAATGAGCATTCTGGCTGTACTTCTTCCAAGACAGATTTGTTCGTTCTTCTGGCACTACACGGTATAGTCAATATTCTTCACCAACACCATAATTCAAAGACATCGATTCTTCTTCGGTCTTCCTTATTCGTTGTCCAGCTTTCACATGCATATGAGACAATCAGAAACACCATGGCCTGGGTCAGGCACACCTTAGTCTTTAAAGTGACATCTTTGCTTTTCAACACTTTAAAGAGATCTTTTGCAGCAGATTTGCCCAATGCAATAAGTCGTTGATTTCTTGACTGCTGCTTCCATGGCTATTGATTGTGGATCCCAGTAAAATGAAATCCTTGACAACTTCAGTCTTTTCTCTGTTTATCATAGTGTTGCTTATTGGTCCAGTTGTGAGGATTTTTGTTTTCTTTATGTTGAGGGTTAATCCATACTGGAGGCTATGGTCTTTGATCTTCATCAGTAAGTGCTTCAAGTCCTCTTCACTTTCAGCAAGCAAGGTTGTGTCATCTGCATATCACAGATTGTTAATGAGTCTTCCTCTGATCCTGATGTCCCATTCTTCTTCATATAGTCCAGCTTCTCAGATTATTTGCTCAGCATACAGATTGAATAAATATGGTGAAATGATATAACCCCTGACACACACCTTTCCTGACTTTAAACCACGCAGTATCCACTTATTCTGTTCGAATGACTGCCTCTTGGTCTAAGTACAGGTTCCTCATGAACACAATGAAGTATTCTGGAATTCCCATTCTTCTCAATTGTATCCATAATTTCTTATGATCCACACAGTTGAATGCCTTTGCATAGTCGATAAAATACAGGTAAACATCTTTCTGCTAGTCTCTGCTTTCAATCAGCATCCCTCTGACATCAGCAATGATATCCCTCGTTCTGCGTCCTCTTCTGAATCCAGCTTGAATTTCTGGCAGCTTCCTGTTGATGTACTGCTGCAGCCACTTTTATTTATTTTATTTGCATGTGGTATTGTTCAATAATTTCCTCATTCTGTTGAATCACCTTTCTTTGGAATGAGTACAAATATGGATCTCTTCCAATCAGTTGGCCAGGTAGCTGTCTTCCAAATTTCTTGGCATAGACAAGTGAGCACTTCCAGTGCTGCATCAATTTATTGAAACATCTCAATTGGTATTCCATCAATTCCTGGAGCCTTGTTTTTTGCCAAAGCTTTCGGTGCAGCTTGAGCCTCTTCCTTCTGCTGCTTCCTGAAATCGTTGAATGTTGACCAGTTCTTTTTGGTACAGTGACTCTGTGTATTCCTTCCATGTTCTTTTGATGCTTCCTGTGTCGTTTAATATTTTCCCCTTAGAATCCTTCAGTATTGCAACTCGAGGCTTGGATGTTTTCTTCAGTTCTTTCAGCTTGAGAAATACCAAGCATGTTCTTCCCTTTTGGTTTTCTATCTCCAGGTCTTTGCATATTCCTTTATAATACTTTACTTTGAGTTTGTCTTCTCAAGCCACCCTTTGAAATCGTCTGTTCAGCTTTTTGACTTCATCATTTCTTCCATTTGCTTTAGCTACTTGACATTCAAGAGAAAGTTTCAGAGTCTCTTCGGACATCCATTTTGGCCCTTTCTTTCTTTCCTGTCTTTTTAATGACCTCTTGCTTTCTTCATGTATGATGTCCTTGATGTCATCCCACAACTCGTCTGGACTTTGGTCATTAGTGTTCAGTGCCTCAAATCTATTCTTCAGATGGTCTCTAAATTCAGGTGGGATATACTCAAGGTCGTACTTTGGCTCGAGTGGACTTGTTTTAATTTTCTTCAACTTCAGCTTGAACTTGCATATAAGCAGTTGATGGTCTGTTCCACAGATGGCCCCTGGCCTTGTTCTGACTGATAATATTGAGCTTTTCTACTATCTCTTTCCACAGATGTAGTCGATTTGATTCCTGTGTATTCTATCTGGTGAGGTCCACGTGTATAGTCACTGTTTATGTTGTTGAAAAAAGATATTTGCAATGAAGAAGTTGTTGGTCTTGCAAAATTCTATCATGTGATCTCTGGTGTCATTTCTATCACCAAGGCCATACTTTCCAACTACGAATCCTTCTATGTTTCCAACTTTTGCATTCCATCTGCCAGTAATTATCAATGCATCTTGATTGCACGTTTGATCAATTTCAGACTGCAGAAGTTGGTAAAAATCTTCAACTTCTTCATCTTTGGCTTTGTGTTATGTTAGGAAGTAATAAATAGTATGGAAAAAAAATAGAACAGGGTAAGAAGAGTCAAATGCCAGGGAGAGTAGATAGCACTTTTTAATGGGGTGGTCTGGATAGGCCTCATCAAGGTTATGTTTGAGCAAAGACTTGACTGGTGAGTGATTAGGTCATGTGATTGAGGGAAGTGTTCCAGAAAGAATGACCTGCCAGTCAAGGGCCTTTAGAGGGAGGGAGCATGCCTGGTGTATGTGAGCAACAGTAGAGGGTCTGACGTAGCTGGAGTGGAGTGAGATGGAGACTAAAGAGGAATGCTTCCCTATCATTGTCTTCACATTTTCCTAAATACTCTTTCTTTGGAATAACTGCCCCTTGGATTGATTGCACCTCCATTTTTATACTGAACATTTTGGACTCACTTCTCCCACTTTCTGGATCCTGCTTTCTGTCATTATGGGCTCTTAACTGACCATCCCCCATCATGCCCTGACACCTAGCCCCAGGCTTCAGCCAGCCTATCCCACATCCCACAGGAGATGAGAATCCTGTGCCCTTGCCAGCCTGTGGGACCCGTCCTATCGTGCAGCAGCAGCGCATCTGGCACCTGTACCGAGTCATCTCGGAAAACATCAGCGAGTGGAAGTGCATGGCTTTTGCCAAGGTAATGATACCCTTCCTTAGACCTCCTGCCTGGGTGTGGAGGGCCTGTAAGGGTGAGGGTGGGGAGGGTCTCACAGTGAGAAGTGCAAAGCCCTCTCACTACAGTTCAGCCTGACTGTGGCCCTGGAGAAGACTGACAGCTGGCTGACAGAGGCAGCCCGGATGAGCACAACCCTAGGGCTACACAGCCCAGTGCTGCATTGCTGCATGCGCATGCTAGAGGAGTTCCGCAGCTTCCTACCATTGCTCACTAAGCTGGGCAGCCTCCAGCTGCAGAACCTCCACTGCCAAGCCCTCCTACGAGGTGTGTTTGGTTAGAGTCAGAGGGAAGGGCATGGGGAAGGATGTGGGGGCTAGAACTTTGTCACAACTCAGTCCTCTGCTGCTCGTGCTGGAAACACCTCTCATCCCTAGTCTGCTCCCTGCCTTCCTCGAGGTACCATACCTCTTTTTCCCTTAGGGACATAAATTTCTAACTTTCCTCACTACCACGTGGGGCCCTCTCTTCTGACTTGGTCTGGGCTTTGGGCTGGGGTCTTAGCTCTGGGTTCTGAGGTGTGTTCAGGACTCTGGATTCTGGGCTCTATGCTGGCTCTATGTTGTGCTCTGAGACATGCAATCAGAGTCTCAGATGGGCTGGGCTGGGTTCTGGCTCCTGGATCTGGGCTCTGGGCTTAGGGTAGGACTGGGCTCTGGGATATGAGCTGGCTTCTGCCATATACAGGATGGAGCTCTGACGTTGTCTCCTCTACCTCCAGCTTTAGGGCTGGGAAGTGTCGATAATCTGGACCTCCTAACACTGGGCCAGCTGCTCACTTGTCCGCTGCTGGAGTTTGCAGATCGAATCAACCAGGTGGGGCCCACAGGAGAAGTAGGGTGGTCCAAGTCCAAGAGCTGTGTGCTAAGCTGTAATGGAGCCAGTTAAGGTCCAGCAGCCCCTTGAGACAAGGGGGGAGTGGATGTTGGCATGTGTATGGTGGGGGTGAGATTGCTGACCCGCCTGGAGAGTATGAATGTTCTGCTTAAGTCTCCAGATGGGGATCTGATGCATGGTTCCAGACTCTCTGTGACCAAGAGCATGTCTGACTTGGGGGAGGGCAGTGGGTGGCAGCTCAGAAGTTGTGGGCACACAGATGATAGATGTCCCCCCAGTACTTACCCTGTCCCAAAAGAGCATGAGATGATTGAGGCATTATCTGCTCAGCCGGACCCTTGCAAGAGGGTGGGTTTCAAGGCTCTGGCAGCAGCCCTGGGTCAAAGCAGTTAGATGCCACTGATGGCCTATCTTTGAAACCAGATGGTCCTATTCTCCTTCACCCCCAAGACCTCCACTCCTCTGAGCCCTGGCCCGTGAGTTGTGCCCCAGGCCCAACACCCAAGTCCCAGCTCCAGAGATATCCACTGAGCCATTACTGAGTCCTGGTTCCTGAGACCCAGCTGTTCCAGATCTGGCAGTGCGAAAACGAACGAGTCCATGCCCAAGACACCCTACGGCGGTTGCAGCGGTCCTGGGAAGTACGCCAACTGCGCCTGCTCAACTTTATCCTTCGTGTACCCTACGAGCCCCCAGCCTCAGAGCGCTCCAAGAGGCAGATGCTCCGCAGCCCCCAATGGGACGTAGTAAGCAAGGATACTGGCACCTTCATCCTCTCAGGTGAGACCCAGCCCTGGTGGCCCAGTGAAAGCCCCCTACTGGGGGCCATTTTCATCTACCACATCCACCACTGCCAGATCTGGATTCTCTAGCCAGGGCCGCATCCTTACTTGACAGCCTGGGACGTCAGTCTATTCTGACAGTGTCTTAATCTCCTTGGGACTCTTCCTCCCCCAGATGCCTGGCTCCGTCAGCAAAGGTCCTTCCCTTTCTGGGAACACTTAGAAATTCCTCATGGTCATCTCTCTCCACCTTCAATGCTCTGTACTCTAGATTGCACCTTACTGTCTAATTTTATGCCCCACTCAGTCATTCATTCCTTTATTCATTCTCTCATCAAACTCACTTGCTTCCTCTGTGCCAAATACAGGAGACCCTAGGTTTACAGACAGCAGCCCTGTCCCTCAGGAGTTTGAAGTCCAGTGAGAGACAGGCAGTGGTATGGAGATCCGTGTGTAATAGTGCACTTTATTTAGGGCAGTAAAGTGTCAGAGAAAGGACCAGATTTAAAGGACCAGGGAGAGTCAGAGAAGCCTTCCCTTACGCAGAGGCCCTCATGCTGGCCTAGAAAAAGTAGGAGTTTGCCAGACCTGCAAAGTGAGAAGAACATGCCAGGCACAGGGAACAGCACATGTACAGGCACCCAAGATGGTATAGTTGGGGAGTTGCCAGTAGAGGAGAAAATCTCTTACCCAACACAGCTGAAATCCGGACAGTTCATCCAGAAAGTTAGTTAAATAGGGAAGTCATAAAATATGATGCATACATTGTTTAAATTGTTTAACTTAAAACATATAAATGTATATTTTGCTTTTAACATAAGGTCAAGGCCTTGTCCTTGGAAGTTCCTAACTGCCTTTCTTGCATAAATCAAATGATTAATGCATTGTCTTCTATTTCTAATTTCAATTTCTGTAAAGTTAAGCAGCAACATGAAGACACTTATAAAGTTACCTGAATCCAGAATGCTTTTAAATTTTTATTATAATTTCCCAATCTTTTGAAATTGGCTTGCCTACACTTGCTTTAATGGCACGTTTTTATTAATTCACCTTTACTGAAGCCTTCCATAGTTTCTGTAGAAACCACAACTTTTTTCCCATCCATCCATTTTTCAGTGACTTATGTAATACTAGACTAAATTCTGTAATTAAAATGATAATATAACCCACATAGACAGGTTTGCAAACACTAACTGTTGGTGAGCATACAATTCATCTGGTAGAAGCAAAAATGGGGGGGGGTATTCTAGAGACTAGCTTCAGATCTATGAGTATCAGAGTTATTACCCCCAAGATACCATGTGTTTTTTGATATACTGTGTTGATGGATATAGCTTGAATCTCTGCCTAAGTGAGATTACCACTACCTCTTTACAGCGTTCCCAAAATCAGTTGAAAATTTGGGGTTTGTTTGGGTATGTGGAGGAAACTTGAAGTATACTTACTGGGGTAGCTGCATGGAGGGTTGTGGTCTGTCTCACACCCTTTAGAGCACAAGAGATGGGTCCTTTTGCCTCCTCACCTGGGGAGGAGTAAGTGAAGGGGATAGAGAGAGGGACCAGAGAAATACTGTTTTCTCTAGGGAGTAGAGTAGAAGTTCTTTCACTCTGAGAGCATGATACCAAGCATTTTCTTCCCAATAGGGGTGTATGGAGAATCCTGCTTCTGTCTAAATCAGTCTCCTCTCTCTATTCTCTTCTCATTTGCACTCTAGTTAGGCCCCTACCTCATTTCCAGCCCTAGTCTCCCATGGCATGATGGGATAAATCTTTGAGCAGCACCACGGGGCTAAGTGCTAAGATTGTGGAAGAGAATTTTCTCTCAGCCTTACTACCAGGATCCCTTTCATCTCAGAATGGGCTTTCTTACTATAGAAAAATGATGTAGGGTGCCAGGAACCACTGAGCCTTCTTCCTAGGCTACAGGCTCCAGTTCTTCAAAGAACTTCTGTGGAAGTAGGTTTACCTAAGGGTAGAGCCCAGCACTCATAGTATCTAAGTTGGGAACTCAGCAGGCCTGGAGTCTGCCCATAGCACATGTGTGTGTAGGATGGTGGCAGTGAGGTTGTCAGTGCTCCAAAGCAGGGCTGGCTTCACTGCATTGGTCAATGTGATCGTCAAAGATAGAAAGGGCATCCAGGCCTCTGTCCCTGCTCCCCTAGAAGGGATCCCAGGTCACCCTGACTGCTCACTCCCTTTTTTCACCCCAACCCTTGTCCTTGCCCCATCTGACTGCCAGCTCAGCTCAGCTGGAGCCCACTCTTTCCCAGACTACAGCAGCCTGCAGAATTCCATCCAGGAGAGTCTCCAGATGTTATTCAAGATCCTGGCCATCCAGAAGTCAGGAGACTTGTATAAAATAGCCCTGGAGTGGGTGACCATTATGCATGGCCTGGGTGAGTGCAGACCTCTAGGTGGGCTGATGGGTGGGATCAGAGGCAGGATGACCTGAGAGGGAGGGGATGAGAGGTGGAGGTTTGAGTGAGGGAGTAGCTGAAAGATAGAGTGAGGGCCTCCTTCATGGCTACTTCTTGGAATGAGGGGACCAGAACTTTCTGCTGAGCCAGCGTAGTTTCGCTGAGTTGGTGAGGCACCCAAGAGGTCACAGCAGGAGCAGGCTGGACCCCTTGCAGAAACTAGAACCCTAGTGTCTCACTCCAGTATTCCTCTGGTTGCTGACACAGGTTCCCTGCTGGAGGTGTGGGTGACTTTTCAGCAGAAGTGGATTTTTCTGAATAAAGTTCTACATGAGATGAAGATCCAGTTTCCTAGTTCTGACCTGGTAGGGGAAGGGGTGAGAAGGGGTGGGCAATGGCTACTGAACAGTGGGACTCAGAGTGTGTGGGGAGCTGCCACTTCATGTCTGCCCTCACTTTCACCACAGAGCTCTCGTTTCAAGGCCATGGATGACCAGTATCGGACCCTGATGAGAATCTCTGTAGCTGACCCACTGGTCCTGTCACTTATAGTGCCCAGTGCTAAGCGGAGTCCTTACTTCCAGGGCCAGCAGCTGCAACAACTGCTCCAAGCAGGCTCGGTGGAGCTGGAGGGCATCATCATGGCTCTGGAGAGCGTGCTCTACAGGGTGCGTGCTCACTTCCCCCGTCTCTTCTTCCTTAGTGACAGTGAGCTAGTGGCCCTGCTGGCTGCCCCACTGGAGTCATGCGAGGCCCAGCGATGGGCACGACGTTGCTTTCCTCATGTGCATGCTGTGAGCTTCAAGTCCAACACAACTGATGAGGAGAAAAACATGGGTGACTGGGAGTCGAGCCCAAGCACACATTCTCTGGTGGAAGCACTTGCAGTGCTAGGGGCAGGTGGGGAGGAGATGAAGCTGCAGGGGCCTCTTCCTCTGCATCTGGATCTCCCCAAGTGGCTGGCCTCTCTAGAGAAGTCTCTGCGTGTGACCCTGGTGCACATGCTTCAGGACTGTGTGGCCACCCGCCTTACTCACAGCCCATCTCTAGAGGAGATCCTCAAACAGCTACCCCAGCACAACGAGCTTCCACTGCACCAGTACATCCTCCATTGTCTGGATTTAGCCCAGACCTTCCCGTGGCAGTGTGTGCTGGTAGCAGAGGAGGTAGTGTGGCGGGCTGAGATGGAGGAGGCTCTGCTTGAGGGGAACACCCTGGCCATGGTCCCCATGCAAGTGCGCAAGCTTGAGGTACTGGTGCATTTTGTGCGGGCCCAGAGGACCTCCCAGGGTGGGCAGCCCCTGCCCTCTGTCCGCCAGGCCAGCCTGCTCAGTGCCCTCTTGGTCATGGCTGTGACCCATCGGGATATAGCACAGCTACTGCGGCAGCATGAGGTCAGTGATCTGAGAGACTTCCACTGGGCCCGCCAACTCAAGTACCACCTGGGTTCATCTTGTGTAACCAGAAGCCCCCTGCAGAGTCTCAGGACTATTATTACATCTGTTGGGCCCTCTCTGCCACCAGCTGCCTGCTGGATAGATGTACTGGGCCGGTCCTTCCTGTACAATTATGAGTACCTGGGACCCAGGCTGGAGCCTCTACCCAGCCTGCTGCCTGAGCGACCAGCCCTGGTGCTGTTATTGGCTCTGGAGGAGGTGGCTTGCGGGACACTACTGGGCTCTGATGGTGTGGGCAAGACAGGTATGGTGACTAGCCTGGCACGGGCCCTTGGCCGCCAGCTGGTGATACTGCCCTGCTTGCCTCAGCTAGAGGCCCGATGCCTTAGCAACTACCTGAATGGCGCCCTACAGAGTGGTGCCTGGCTGATGTTAAAGGCAGTTCAGCACCTTCCCCCTGGCTTGCTCTCTGCCCTGGGCCAGCGCCTGGCTGAACTACACCTCCTTTATGCCCCACTGTACCAGAAGGCTTCCCAGAGCACCAGCACCGTCGACCCCATCCATCCACTGGAGCTTGGCACTGGCTTCTTTGAAAACCATCACGTGTACATGCGCCTTGGCTATGGCTGTCTCCTGACACTACGTACCTTGAGCCCTGTTGTGCCTGCCAACCTGCGCCTGCTGCTGCGGCCGGTGGCATTGGCACTGCCTGACCTGTACCATGTGGCAGAGATGACCCTGCTAGGTGCAGGGATGCGGGATGCCTCCCGCATGGCTACCCGCCTATCAAAATTCTTCTCCCTAGAGCGTGAGCTGGTATTTGGGCCCCTGCCCTGCCGCCTGCCGTTGCTCAAGCAGGTACTGGAGGACACAATACAGAGACTAAATGTGACCAAGAAGGAACCCAAGTCCCAGCATCCCTGCAGCCTAGCTGCCATTGAAGAGGCCGCTCTACTGCATGCTGTGCTGTGCTCACAGCTGTTCACCATCCTCAATGAGCCCCACCTGCACAAGCTCCGAGAGCTGCTCTTTGGGCTCTTCCCCAGTGCCAGCCAAGTGCTGGCAGAGCCTATGATTCCCAGGCTGATGAAGCCACTGATGGTGGAGGAACTGCGGCAGGTAGGACTGTATCCCAGCCCTGACATTTTGGGGTCCTTGGAGCAGCTGACCCAGGCCCTGAGCCGGGCCTCGGGCATTCTGCTCCTGGGCCCTGCAGGCAGCGGCAAAACCACTTGTTGGCACTGCTTATTTAAGATCCAGAACCGGTTGGCAGCTATGGAGGATACCTCAACCCAGGGCTACCAGCCTGTGGAAATTACTCACCTTTACCCCAGTGCTCTCAGCCCCCAGGAGTTCTTGGGATGGCTAGAGGGCCCCTGGTGGCACCAAGGTGTCTTCCCCAGGCTGCTTCATGCAGCCACCCAGTGTAAGTACATGGGCTCAAACGAGCAGGTGCCAGAATCAGCAGGGATCCAGCACTGGGTCATATGTGATGGGGCACCCAGTGCTGCTTGGCTGGACTCCATCACCTGCCTCCTTAGTGATCCCCCCCAGCTTAGCCTCCCCAATGGCCAACAGATACCACGCCCGCCGGGCACCTTTCTCTTAATGGAGGTGGCAGATGCCACAGGCATGTCCCCCACAGTGGTGGGCCGCTGTGCTCTGGTCTGGTGTGGTGGGGAGCAGACATGGCAGTGTATACTTAACGTCCTGATGGCTGCCCTGCCCCATGAGTACCGCCTGCAGCACCAGACAATCACTGAGCTCAACCACCTGGCTGAAGTTCTGGTGCCTGCCACATTCAGATTCCTCACCCGCCAAGGTGCCAGCTCTGTACTGCATGTACATGGGCAGCAGGCTGTCTGCCCAGGTGTGGCTGAAGTCACCAGCCTGGCCCGCATCTTCCGTGGTCTGCTTGATCCCTACCTGCGCCTAGATGAGGAGGAGAATGCACGTGGCCCAGGTGGGGAGAGGGAAGGGCTGGTTTGAGAGAGGGTGGCAGAGATGGAGCCTTGAGGATAGCTGGGGTATAACGAGCCTGGTACATGGGTTCTTTGGTGGACCTGGGCCCAGGGACTGAAAGTGAGGAGAAGTAATATAGCCAACCTCTACTCTCCCCCACCCACTTTTTTCTACCGGGCCTCCTATTCTGACATTTGTAGAGGACCCTAGCAGTAGTGAACCTGTGACCCAGAGCTTCAAGTCCTCAAAAAGCAGCTCTCTGAACAACCGATCCCAGACTGACAATGAAGATGTGCAGAATAAGCAAAGGGAGCACTTGCTGGCTGTCAGCAGCTTTCTTTTTGCCCTGATCTGGGGCTTTGGAGCCCTCCTTCCCTCCAGGTGCCTACAGGGGTGGGGGCTGAGGGGTGTGGAGGGCTGAGATGAACTGGCCCATGGGAGTCAAAACCCAGGTGACATCGCTGGTGGGGTATGGTGGAGTGTGTGAGTGTATCACAAATGGAACTGTTATAACTGACACTTTTGCCTGTGTGTCCATCTGAGCAGGCTCTGGCCCCTCTTTGACACCTTCCTGAGGGGCTGTATTAATTGCCTCTCCAACTATCCTGAGCCACCACCCTCAGCCTTGCTGTTCGATCTACATGTGTGCCCTGAAGATGGGACACTGGTTCCCTTCACTGGCCAATACCTGGGTAGCCGCATCAGAGGAAATCTGGGCACCTTCAACCCTTCTCTCCAGGTGTGAGGACGGTGGGGCAGTAGCTGGGGTTGGGGCTCAAGGAGATATCCCCAGGATAGTCTATGTTCTAGGCCCAACTGAGGCCTACCTACTCCCATTCTTTGAAAGGTTTTCACAACCATTTGTAAAGTGTTTTGCAAGCACAGCTTTAAGACAAGTCCCCTAGACATTTACTTTCAGCTAGATTACTGTCCTAAACTGGAGCTGCCACAGTAAGCCCTGCTCCTGTCCTGCAGACTGAACGGCTTTTATATGTGGTGGACCTGCTTCTGTCAAAGGGACAGCCAGTGCTGCTGGCTGGAGAGGCAGCATCAGGGAAGTCAGCCTTTGTGGAGGTGCTAGTGGAGCCAAATCACCCCTACACGTATGTCCCCATCCACCCTGCCTTCAGTTCCATCCACCTTCGCCTCCTGCTCAGCCAAGGTGTCCACGGCCAAGCACAAACCAGCCCATCATCTGGGGGTCACGAGGATTCTAAAGGCTCCCTCTTTCTGCTGGAGGATCTACACCTGGCGGCTTCTGGTGAGGCACTAGGAGGAGGGAAGGAAGGAGGTGCTGTCATCTTTTGAGACTGTAAATCCTTCAAATATATGACTCCAGATCAAACTTCAGTGCCCCATTCTTAGTGTCTTCTCATTCTACATATACTCACTGAGCAATCATACCCACTCTCATGGCTTCATCAACCATCTCTATGCTTCAACTCCTAAATCTCTATCTCCAACCCAGGCTTCTCTTCGAAGCACTAGATCTGTTTCTCCACCCATCTACCGTACATCTCCACCTTGTTGTCCCATTGGCACCACAGACCCAACTCTGAACTCATCATCTTCCCCCTGAAACCTGCCCCTTGTGCCCTCTTAGTAACCAGTACCTCCATCCAACCAGTCACTTAAGCCAGAAATCTTGTTGGCATCTCTTCCTCTCTTACCAATGTCCGATCACCATGTCTCTTGATTCTACCTCCTCAATATCCCTTGAATGTTTCTGCTTATTTCTATTCTGTCTTCCCTTTTTCACACAATCATTACCTGGAACTTTGGTAAATGCTCTCCGGAGGCTGTTTGTGATGAGCCTTTCTTCTATAGCCTGTTACACTCTGATCTAACTGAACTCAGCTACATGCAGGCATCCAACAAGTCAGGCTTCCTTTCTGCCCTCTCTCTCCTGTTTGTCCGGCTAAGTCCTTCTTATTCTTTCCAAATCATCTCAGGCAATATCTCCTCTAGGAAGCCTGAGCCCCAAGGGTAGGTTAGATACCTATCTTGTGTCTGCACATCAACCTGTGATAACCATGATTTTATAATTGTGTGTTTACTTTTCTGTACATTCTTCCACACTCTGAGCTTCAAGAAAACAGGGATTGTTGTTGTTAGTTGCCATCAAGTTGATTCTGACTCACGGTGACCCCACATGTGCAGAGTAGGACTGCTCCATAGGGTTTTCAAGTCTTTAAACTTTTGGAAGCAGATTGTAAGGCCTGTCTTCCAAGACACCCCTGGGTGGGTTCGAATCACCAACTTTTTGGCTAGTAGTCTAGTGCTTAACATTTGCACCACCCAGGGATTCCTGAGAACAGGGATATGTCTCATTTATTTTGACAGACCCAACAGGAAGTAAATGCTCAATAAGAGTTTGTAGAAGAAAAGATTAGAAAGGAAAGGGGAGAAATTGTGATGAAAGTTGGGGATACTGAAGTTTAAAGTTTATGAATTGGTACTCCTCCAGATGATGAGAAGTTCAGAATATGGCCATGGGAATGGGCAGTAGAAGTGAAGTATAGGTACAGGTTGTTGGAGTCAAGAAAGTCAGTGGACTAAAGCATTGGATGGGTTGTCCGGTCAAACACTGATGTCTCTTACGGGATATAGAAAATTTGAACAAGGTGGTAAAAGTACTTATTAATAACAGGTACAATTTATTGAGTATCTACTATGTGCTACATGCTATGTCATCTTTATTCATAAAAGCCTAGTAAGATGGCACACTTAAAATGTGTATATTTTATTTTATGTAAATCATGCCTTAATTAAGTAGATTTTTAAAAAATGTGCATGTGATACAAATTCACTCTCTTCGAGTGAGATGATTGAACTTTTCACCCTATTGTGATCAGGTGTGGTTTCCATCTATCTCAGCTTGCAAACCCTTCTGGTCATTAGCCTTCAGTTAATGAATAACTGGTCATGGAAGTAGGATTTGGAGGAGAAGAGAGAAGCATACTTGCTTTCAGGTAGAATGTAGAGGAGAGAGAACCACTTAACTCAGACATGACCAAGGCCCAACACATCAAATGTACAAAATTCCTTCAGAACCCTGGGTGTGCTGGAAGCAGACCTAGTAGGACGAGGAGAGGAATAGGAGGAACAGTGTGACACTCTCACTTATGTGCTCACTTTATTCTTTATGTCCCAAAGATCCAGAGAAGAGCTGCCAACCAGTGTTGGAGGCTCTGCGCCAGGCCATAGACGGCACTGTGTATGCCCATAGCACCTTGAAACTGGAGACACTGCAGCCTATAGTCAACTTCCTTGCCACTGTCACAGTGCCAGGCTGCTATGAGCGCCCACTGTGCCCACGCCTCTTTCGCCTCTTCACAGTGCTGGCCCTGGGCAGCATGACCCGAGCGACCTTGCTGAGCAGGCACACCCCTAGCATTCAGGCGTGGCTCGAACGCTTTCCCTCTGTGGAGCGGGAGGGGATTCTGGCAGGAGCCCTGGTTCAGGCCTCAGTGGACGCCTGGGAGGCTGTGTGCAGTTGCTTCATGCCTTCACCCCTCCACCCACACTACCGCTTCTCCCTGCACTCTGTGAGCCACCTACTAGGCAGCCTGCAGCTGCTGCCAACCAGAATGGGCTCCCGAGGTTTCGCTGACTGTGTCAACCACCAGGAGCACTTGCGCCGGGTGTCCGGCTTGCGTGGTACCCGTTTGACCATTATGATAGCCATGCGCAACATGGTGCGTCTTTGGTTGCATGAGGCACAGAGGACCTTTTGTGACCGACTGGACAGCCCTAAAGAACGCTTGCACTGTGCCAAGCTGCTCTTAGAAGTAGCTCAGTGTGTCTTCTGCTCGAGGTCAGAGACCCAGAACCTGGGCAAGGGCTATGAGAATGAAGAGGAGGAGGAAAAGGTGCCTGAAGTGGAATCTGAAGGGGAGCTGGCCCAATGGGAGGACTTGAGCAATAGCGGCAGTGAGACAGAGGAAGAAGGGGACCCTTATTCCCTTCAGGTTCCCACAGGCTTACACTACAGCAATCCAGGTCTAACACCATCCATCAGACCAGTAAACAAGGAGACCATGGAGAGCACAAGTCAGACGACAAGCCAGGAAGAAAACACAAGTGTCTCCAGCTTCAAGCTCCAGATAAAGAGATCCAAGAGTTGGTGGCAGAAGACATCCCACATGGACCTGGTCACACCTCTGTTGCTACCAGTGCTACTACTCCATCCCAAGGAAAAGCCTTCAGACCTGATCTTCAGTCAGGAGCTGATACTGGGGTCCAGCTCAGAGAACCCCAACTTGTACCTGGAGCGACAGTGGGAGAGCCTGGAGGAGCAGCTAGCCACCTCAGCTGCTCAGCTGAGGCTGAGGCCCCAGCTTGCTGTGTGCCGCTCCGTGACCCAGCACGTAGCCCGCCTGGTCCGGGTGCTGGCCAGGCCCCGGCAGCATGGCCTACTGCTTGCAGGGGCTTTGAGTACTGGACGCCGTACTGCCATCACTTTGGCTGCTAGTATTTGTCAGGCCCATCTCCTCCATCTGCCATCTGGATCAGAGGAGGCCATTCTCCAGTGTCTACGGGATGCCAGCTGGCATGCCGGCATATTAGGCCAGCAAGTGGCCCTGCTGGTGCCTGAGGGTGTGGATCTCACTACCTTTCATCGCCTTCTGGCCCTGGCAACTTCGGGCAGTTTCCCTGACCAGTACACAGAGGCAGATCTGAACAACCTTGAGGAACATCTCCCCAGAGAGAACCTTGGTGTTAAACAGAACATCAAGAAGGAAATGGTGTTTCAGAGGTGAGGCCAAGGACTGCCATTCCAGGGTCTGTTCTGTTCTTACTCAGGGGCAGATTATCCAATAAGCATCAAAGTGAAACACAAGTGAAATTGTTCACTACAGATTAGTAAGTAAGGACAAGTAAGCCCATGCTTACCTTGCTTACTGAGTCATCCGCCCCTGTCAGGGACTGTAAATTTGAAAAGAGGCTTTGATTCTGTAGTAATGTTCTGTAGGTTTGGGAGAGAGACAGATGCCAGCCATACCTAGAAGCAGAATCTTTGATGTAATGAAAAAAAATGTGAAATTGTTCACTATAGATTAATAAGTAAGCCCATGCTTACCTTGTTTATTGGATAATCCACCCCTGTGTAGTGAACCATCCTGGTCAAAAGGCCATAAGGAAATCTAGGGGCCACTGTCAGGGTACAGAAGATCAGGGCTAAGGGGTTGGGGTTGGGCTGGGGCCTGGATGAGCAAACAGTGGTAAAGGGGAAGACAGCATCTGAGCCTCTGGCCCACAGGTTCTACCAGCAAGTGTGCAGCCACTTGCACCTATTCTTCCTGATCAGAGATGACCAGGCCCACAAGCAGCTGCCTTCTAGTCTGTTCCTGAGGCTCCTTCAACTGGCAGTTGCCAGCATTGATCACTATGAACCTTGGGACCAACCTGACCTGGTCAGTGTGGCCCAGCACCACCTGGAGTGTGCTCAGAGTCTACCCCTTGGTGATGGTGAGCCCCCTTTACCTGTTCTTGCCATTTATCTCAATTAGGTTCTAATGAGAGTTATTACTTAGGCCAGTCTCTTTCTCTAGAACCTAGTGAGCCCCCTTCACCTTTTCTACCTTCCTTCCTGAGCCAGGAGAGGGTGCCTTCTTTTTCCCATTTCTTTACAAGCTACAGCGCCAGTCTGAAGCCGTACCTTTTGCAGACTCTTTGAAGTGCCCAGACCTCCAGTCCTCAATTGCCAGTGTGTCCAAAGCCATGGCTCTCATTCACCTTTCGGCTGCCAGCTACATTGAGCACCTGTGCCCTGTACTGCCACTTGTTACCCCTAAGACCTTCCTAGACTTCCTGGACACCTTCCTGCTGCTGCAGCACCAGATGACCCTGCAGATGAGGAACAAGGCCCAGCAGTGAGTGGCCCCATTCCCTGCAGTATACCTCCTTCTGCTCCCTCGGGTCCACTCACTGGCACGTTGTATCTCCAGGATCCAGAAAGCCCTGGAAAATCTGGAATTGCTGATGGAACAACACAGAACCCATGCCAACCTTGTCTTCAACTTGGAACAGCAGCTGAAAGGCTCCCGCAAGGTAAGAGGGAGATTATCAGGCATGCATACAGAATGGGGTCAAGCAGGAGCTCAAATGGGAGGAACCAATCAGACTGAACCTAAATTCTTGTCTCCCTAGAGTACCCTTTTCCCCAGGGATCTCTGTAATCCCTGCTGCCTCTTCCTTTTCTTTTAGAGCTCAGCCTCAAAAGTTCCCCATGGCACGCTGAGACCAGACTGATTCTTATCTAAACACATGAAGCCTAAGGGTCTGCTTCTGGTTGTTCCTAGTGCCTTGACTGTGTGAAGTTCAGTACACTCCCCCAGATCTCTATAGATTCCCATGAAGGATGGAGCAAGGATTACATTGTCATGGTCATCTCTCACCAGGGGTGGGATTAAGCAGTAAACACGGTATGCACAACTGACCCTCTACTTTACCAAGCATGATTTCCTTCTCCAGGAACTGATCCCTCTTAATGATGTGTCTGAAGTATGTGAGATGTAGTCTTGCCATCCTTGCTTCTAAGGGGCATTCTGGTTGTACTTCCTCCGAGACAGATTTGTTCAGTCTTTTAGCAATCCATGGTTTATTTAATATTCTTTGCCAACACCACAATTCAAAGGTGCCAGTTCTTCTTCTGTCTTCCTTATTCATTGTCCAGCTTTTGCATGCATAGGAGGCAATTGAAAACACCATGGCTTGGGTCAGGCACACATTAGTCTTCAAGGTGACATCTTTGCTTTTGAATACTTTAAAGAGGTCTTTTGCAGCAGATTTGCCCAATGCAATGCGTCTTTTGATTTCTTGACTGCTGCTTCCATAGGGGTTGATTGTAGATCCAAGTAAAATGAAATCCTTGACAACTTCAATCTTTTCTCCTTTTATCATGATGTTGCTTATTGATCCAGTTGTGAAGATTTTTGTTTTCTTTATGTTGAGGTGTAATCCAAACTGAAGGCTGTGGTCTTTGATCTTCATCAGTAAGTGCTTCAGGTCCTCTTCACTTTCAGCAAGCAAAGTTGTGTCATCTACATAACACAAGTTATTAATGAGTCTTCCTCCAATCCTGATGCCCCATTCTTCTTCACAGAGTCCAGTTTCTCGGGTTATTTGCTCAGCATACCGATTGAATAAGTATGGTAAACAGATACAACCTGACACCTTTCCTGACTAAACCACGCAGTATCCCCTTGTTCTGTTCGAATGACTGCCTCTTGTTCTATGTACAGGTTCCTCATGAGCACAATTAAGTGTTCTGGAATTCCCATTCTTCTCAATGTTATCCATAATTTCTTATGATCCATACAGTTGAATGCCTTTGCATAGTCAATAAAACACAGGTAAACATCTTTCTGGTATTCTCTGCTTTCAGCCAAGATCCATCTGACATCAGCAATGATATCCCTGGTTCCACATCCTCTTCTGAATCTGGCTTGAATTTCTGGCAGTTCCGTGTCGAAATACTGCTGCAGCTGCTTTTGAATGATCTTTAGCAAAACTTTACTTGTGTTTGATATTGTTTGATAACTTCCGCATTTAGTTGGCTCAGCTTTCTTTGTAATAGGCATAAATGTGGATCTCTTCCAGTCGGTTGGCCAGGTGGCTCTCTCCCAAATTTCTTGGCATAGACAAGTGAGCACTTCCAGCTGCATCCATTTGTTGAAACATCTCGGCTGGTATTCCGTCAATTCCTGGAGGCTTGTTTTTCGCCAATGCCTTCCTTCAGTGCAGCTTGGACTTCCTCCTTCAGTACCATCAATTCCTGGTCATATGCTGCCTCCTGAAATGGTTGAATGTTGACCAGTTCTTTTTGATTCAGTGACTCTGTGTATTCTTTCCATCTTCTTTTGATGCTTTCTGCATCGTTTAGTATTTTCCCCATAGAATTCTTCAATATTGCAACTCAAGGATTTAAATGGCATACTAGACATCAAAGTCCTGAATTTCCTCAGTCACTGACCTCTAAAGGGCATTTCCTAGCAGCCAACTTTTCCTTTCTCCTTTCATCTCCCCAGAACCTGCTCCACAATGTTATTCAGTTACCCTATTTTTCGTTTAGAGCTACTCAAATTCAGTTCTCATAAGAGATTTTCCTAGTCCAAACCCTGTTGCTTTCTTACACAGGGCAATTTTCTTCTTTGAATAAACCTCTCATATCTGGCTGACTAGTGGGGTGGGGGTCATTACACCTTCTATAGCCAAATACTCCCTGTTTTCCTCAACTAAACAGAAGTTGTTTTTTTCTTTTATTTTTAGTAAGAGGAATTCTGAAATAGCAAGCATTTTTTCTTCCTGCTACAGAAGACTTTTTTTTTTTTGAAAAAATCTTTGAAAGTTGATTTTAAGGGTTAGGAAGGGCACACGTAAACTTCACCCAAAATAATATTGGAACAGAGTTCTTACTTTGGGCTGGGCACTTTACATGTATTATTTCATTTAATTCCTACAAAATCTTACAAGATAGCTGCAATACCTGTCATATAGTAAGATTTCAGTAAGTATTAGATACTGTTGTTATTATTTCATTAAAAAAGCTGAACATTTTTCTTAAGGAAAGATTAAGGAACAGTTTCCAGTGAAGGCTGGAAAGTTGCCCCCAGGTAGACTGAATCAGGATCGTCAATACTTTCATTTTAACATAAACCCTAAACTGGGTTTACACTAGCTGTTCAATCCTTCTTTCCCTTAAACAAAAACACTCAGAACCCAACCTTTAAAAAGAAATAAATTTTATATTCTGAATGTAAAAGTGTTCTTTCTTGAATAATTTTTCAAATCCTATCCTTTTCCCTCCCACTAACAAAAATGTTAATGAGCTGTTACACAAGTTTTGATAAAGGTTCAGGGATAACTACAGGTAAGTGAGCTAGTGCCCAATTCACAAGGAGATAATCTGACTTGCAAGGTGTAACTCTTTACAGTGCTTTCAGGATTTACGGCTCCCCAATTCCTAGCCAGAGCCCTGGTGGTGCAGTGGCTAAGCACTGGGCTGCTGTCTACAGTTTCAAACCCACTGGCTGCTCCAAGGGAGAAAGATGTGTCAGTCTGCTTCCATAAAGATTATAGCCTTGGAAACCCTATGGGGCAGTTCCACTCTGCCTTACAGGTTCCCTGTAAGTTGGAATTAACTTGATGGCAATGGAGCAGGGATGGGGGGTAATGCCTAGCTTGCCTCTTCTGATGCGTGTCCTCAGTGCTGTCACACAGTGTTGCACAACTCCAGGTGCCTGGCTTACACTGTGTTTCTGTACATGGTTTTCATCGTGTTCTCTATGTAAATGGTACCTCTTGGAGTTCTCAAGGTACCGGGACCCTCCTATCGTCTACCACTTAGGATGGCAAGCTTATATTAGGCCTCAAGACTCAGTTGAGATGCAAAAGAGAAGTTCAGAGAGGGACAGGAGTCCCATTTCCTATGTTTTCCAAATTCCAGTTTCTTGTCTTGGTTTCTGTCTTTTCCCATGCTGATTAATATCAAGAACTGCTGATCTGGTTTAGGGGTGCTACTATTATTTGATTTATGGATCAGTTACATCAGAGCACAACATAATAAGCCCAAAGTCTGGATAAGAGATGTTCTTAGTCTTAGGGATCATTCAGTTGCAGCTCCCTAGGTCATTCACTCGACAGCCGTAATACTGCGTATTTTTTCCAGTGTTCTCCACCACAGGAAATGGCACCACCATACACTTAGTCGTTGAAGTCAAATTCCAGGAGTTATTCTGGACCCTTCCATCTCTTTCATATTCAACTGGTTCATTCACTTATTTATTACTGTACTCAACAAAAATTAAATGAACACCATATTATTTTTGTCCAGGCAGCCATTACTATCTATGTCTATATCTATGTTTACGTCTAGGTCTCTGTCTATATCTATCTATGTAATCCTTGGAGTCCCTGGGTGGTGCAAATGGTTAACATATTCAGCTGCTAACCAAAAGGTTGGAGGTTCAAATCCACCCAGAAGCACCTTGAAACAAAGGCCTGGTGATTGACTTCCAAAAAATCAGCCATTGAAAACACTATGGAGCATAGTTCTACTCTTGACACACATGGGGTGGCCATAAGTTAGAATCAACTCGACGGCAACTGGTATCTAATTCTTGCCACAACTTTCTGAGGTGGCTGTCCTTCTTCCATTTTATAGATGAGAAAACTGAGATCCAGAGAGGTTAAAGAGCTTTTCCTTAATCTCATAAAGTTGTGATGAGGATGAAATGAGATCTTACAATTAAAAGTGTTGGCACATAGTAACAGCTCAATGTTAGCCACTGGTAGTATTAGATTATATGACCTCCTAATAAAAGAGATAAGGCACTGTCCTTGGCTTCATGGTGCCTGCAGTTTACTGGAAGATATAGACTCACCCAGGCAATTACAAAATAGTGTGAGTGTGTTTTGACAAAGTCTAAGGTGAGTCTACGAGAGCCAAAGTATGAGCTTGAGTATATCCCACCTGAATTTAAAGACCATCCGAAGAATAGATTTGATGCACTGAACACTAATGACCAAAGACCAGATGAGCTGTGGAATGACATCGAGGACATCATACATGAAGAAAGCAAGAGGTCATTAAAAAGACAGGAAAGAAAAAAAAGGCCAAAATGGATGTCAGAAGAGACTCTGAAACTTGCTCTTGAAAACAGAAGATTTCAAAGGGCGGCTTGAAAAGACAAAGTAAAGTATAATAATGATGTGCAAAGACATGGTGTTAGAAAATCAAAAGAGAAGAACACGCTCAGCATTTCTCAAGCTGAAAGAACGGAAGAAAAAAATTCAAGCCTCGAGTTGCAATATTGAAGAATTCTATAGGGAAAATCTTAAACGACGCATGTAGGAAGCATCAAAAGAAGATGGAAGGAATAGAGTCACTATACCAAAAAGAATTGGTTGATGTTCAGCCATTTCAAGAGGTAGCACATGATCAGGAACAAATGGTACTGAAGGAAGAGATTCAAGCTGCACTGAAAGCACTGGCAAAAAACAAGGCTCCAGGAATTGACGGAATACCAATTGAGATGTTTCAACAAATGGATGTAGTGCTGTAAGTGCTCACTCATCTATGTCAAGAAATTTGGAAGACAGCTACCTGGCCAACCGACTGGAAGAGACCTGTATTTATGCCTATTCCAAAGAAAGGTGATCCAGCAGAATGTAGACATTATTGAACAGTATCATTAGTATCACACACAAGTAAAATTTTGCTGAAGATCATTCAAAAGCAGCTGCAGCAGTACAGCTATCATTGCTGATGTCAGATGGATCCTGGCTGAAAGCAGAGATGTTTACCTTTGTTTTATTGACTCTGCAAAGGCATTCGACTGTATGGATCATAAGAAATTATGGATAACATTGAGAAGAATGGGAATTCCGGAACACTTAATTGTGCTCATGAGGAATGTGTACATAGATCAAGAGGCAGTTGTTCAAACAGAACAAGAGGATACTGTGTGGTTTAAAGTCAGGAAAGGTGTGCATCAGGGTTGTATTCTTTCACCATAATTATTCAATCTGTATGCTGAGCAAATAATCCAAGAAACTGGACTGTATGAAAAACGGGGCATCAGGATTGGAGAAAGACTCATTAACAACTTGCATTATGCAGATGAGACAACTTTGCTTGCTGAAAGTGAAGAAGACTTGAAACACTTATTGATGAAGACTGAAGACCACAGCCTTCAGTTTGGATTACACCTCAACATAAAAAAATAAAAATCCTGACAACTGGACCAATAAGCAACATCATGATAAATGGAGAAAAGATTGAAGTTGCCAAGGACTTCATTTTACTGGTATCCACAATCAACAGCCATGGAGGCAGCAGTCAAGAATGAAATGACACATTGCATTGGGCACATCTGCTGCAAAAGACCTCTTTAAAGTGCTCAATAGCAAAGATGTAACCTTAAGAACTAAGGTGCCCCTGACCCAAGCCACGGTGTTTTCAATCGCCTCATATGCATGTAAAAGCTGGACAATGAATAAGGAAGACAGAAGAAGAATTGATACTTTCAAATTGTGATGTTGGTGAAGAATATTAAATATACTACGGACTGCCAAAAGAATGAACAAATCTGTCTTGGAGGAAGTACAGCCAGAATGCTCCTTAGAAGCAAGGATGGCAAGACTACATCTCACGTACTTTGGACATGTTATCAGGAGGGATCAGTTCCTGGAGAAGGACATCATGCTTGGTAAAGTAGAGGGTCAGTGAAAAAGAGGAAGACCCTCAGTGAGATGGATTGACACAGTGGCTGCAACAATGGGCTCAAGCATAACAATGATCGTGAGGACTGGGCAATGTTTCATTCTGTAGTACATAGGGTCACTATGAGTCGGAACTGACTCGACGGCAACTAACAACTAACAGGGTGAGTATCTAAAGGAGTTTTCTAGAGAAAGTACAGTGCCACAGTATCTACCAGAGAGCCATGTGTAGAACATAGTAGGGGCTGAAAAACATTTCTTAAATATAAAAAGTGAATGAAGTACATCAAAATTGCTACCTGAAGGTTAGGTAAGATTAACCAGGTATGGAAGGAGAAGGGGAGGAAGAGTGCCCCAGGCTGAAGAAAAAGCCCCAGAGGCAAGGGAATATGTGCCATGTTGGAGGAAATCAAAGTCGGGATGGCTGGAGAGTAGATTGCTGGGGAAGAGGAAAGATGTGAGGCTGGAAAGATGAGTTAGAGGCCTGGTCATGGAGGCACTGTAAAGCAAATGAAAGAGTGGTAAGTGTTAAGGGACATGATGTGATTTGTTTTTTAGAAAACCAGTTAGGCTGCACCATGGAGAATGAATTAGAGGAGGAGTAAGAGTGGAAGCTGAGAGACCAGTTAGGAAGCCCATGCAGAAGGTCAGGGAGCATGGTGAGAGAGCATGGTGGAAGTTTGGGATGGGGCTGGATATAAGACATTTAGGAGGTAGAACTGAAAGGCCTTTAAGATAGACTGGGTTTGGGGAATAGAAGAGATGGGTTCAGGGTAACAACTAGGTTTCTTCCTTGGGAAACTGGATGTATTTTGCCTCAGTTTTCTGAGAAAAAGAACACATGAGGAGAGGAGTAAGATTGCAGGGGAGGTGAGGCATAGCCAGTGCATTCATTTTGGGGCATGTGTGAGTCTGCAGGGACTGTGAGCCATCCAAGAGGAGATTTTCATTAAGTAGGTGGATACATAGATGTGGGGCTTAGGAAAGAATCTAGCTAGAGATACAGATTTGGGAGTTGTTAGAGTATAAGTGGTAATCAAAGCCATGAGATTAGGGAGGGTGTGTAGAAGTGTAAAGTGATAAGATAAGGGGGGTCTGGGGATGAATTGCTGAGGAATATTTAAGGGATGGAAGAGGAAGAGATAGAGCAGCCAGACAAGTTGGAGGAAGCCCAAAGAAAACACAATATCATGAAACCCAAGGGAGGAGAATGCTTTAGGAGTGAAAGGACTGTCTTCTGTGACAAATGCTGCTAATGGGTCAAGTAAGATAAGGAGTGTGGCATAATGGTTAAGCTCAGAGGCTTTAGATTCAGATTCCCTGGGCCTATATGATCACAAAGATACTGCAGAAAAAGTAACCAACTTAGTGTATTACTAGATGTATAGCTCACAGACTCAGACTGTATTTGTGACGTACTCTGAGTCCAAGTTGGTTGCCCTGACTGTCAAGTGCAATGTGTGCTGGGATCCCACGCCTATGGAGTCTTCCCCTTGGGTGTTCCCACTTCACCCAGGATCTGGGGCTGCAGGGCCTAAATCTTTGTTCACAGAGCCTCAGTGCATTTCAGCACCAGCTAGAACAAGACAGGCTTCTGTACAAGCAGCAGTTGGCAGAATGTCGGCAGCAGGAGAAACTCATTGAGAACCTGGTCAAGCAGCGGGATGCCCTGCAGGCTCAGCATGAAGCCTTCCTGGAACAGGTGGGCTCTTGCTGCCACTTGCCCTGCACTATTCCTCTCTTGGGAAAGGACAAGTCCCTCATAGGATGTCCAGAGGAAAGGATGGGGTGACCCATCATGGAGTCTGCTGGGGCGGAAAGGGCAAAGATAATGAGATGGCTTGAAGATTCGTCCTTCATGGGGACTCCTGGGAGAAGATGATCCTGTCTGCAAACACCTTGTGGGGAAGCTCACTCCAGAGTGCATCTCTCCTCATTTAGATGGGCCAGGCATTTCTGGGGCCCCTGAGCCAGCTTCAGGTGGCCGACATCGAGGAGCTACGAAGCTATCGAGCACCACCGGAATCTGTGGTCCAGGTGACCAATGCACTGTGTGACCTGTTCCACCGTGAACCGGGCTGGGCCAGTGCCAAGCAGCTGTTATGCACTGAGGATTTTTATCAGGTAGGGAAGGTGGGGCACAATGGAGGAGTGAGGAAAGAGAAGGATAGGGGAGACTTGGCAGGCTAGGCTGTTGAGTCAAGGTTCAGAGCATCCATGTCTTCTCTCATTCCCTTAACACACGTCCTCCCAGGAGCTGGTGTTCTTCCCCAAGGAGAAGATGACAGACTCAGAGCTGATAAAGTTAAACATAGCTCTGAAGGCTCCAGGCATGAGTGATGCGGCCCTGCGAGCAGTAAGCATACCTGCAGCAAACCTGACAGTCTGGCTTTGGGCCGTTCTGCGCTACGGGCTGGCACAGCGCCGGGGATTGCCCACAGGTCTGCTGCTGCGGCAGGTGGAGGCGGCACTAGCTCGAGAGCAGGCCCACCTGGGCCACTACCAGTTCCAGGCTCATGAGACCTTGCAGCACAGTTTGGCCTTGACTGGGAAGATGAAGGATGCTGAAGCTTCCTACAGGCATCTGATGGAGACCCTCATTCAGGCACAGTATGGCGAATATTATAAGTGGCCCATAAAGGCTACACTGCTCACACCCATGCACTCCTGGACTACACAGCTGAAGGTAACCAGCCCCCTCCCAGATTTCCCCCCATAGGTCATTTCTGCACCACCTCCAATCCTCTGCTCATCCCTGGGCTCTCACTACGTCCGTCTGTCCCACTCGGCCCTCCTTGTCATGCTTTATCCCATACCCCAATCTGTTGCCCGTCTGCCAGACCCTCTGCTGTTGCCTTCCTCACCTTGCCTATACACTGTCTGGTCTTCCCTTCTACCCTAGAAGCTGAAGGGGCACTGCATGACTGTGTTTGGAGATGCCCTCCTGTGTTCAGCTGCCATCGTCTACCTGGGTCCCTTCCCACCATCACGGCGTCAGGAGCTATTGAACAAGTGGCTGGCTCTGTGCAAAGGCTTTCAGGAGACCCTGGGCCCAGATGATGTGGCACAGGCGCTGAAGAAGAGGCAGAAATCTGTCACCATGCCAAAGAATGCCTTGCTGCCCACACATTCTCCCTTCAGCCTTCTGTCCTTACTGAGCTCTGACTGTGAACAGCGCCAGTGGGATAGAGACATGAAGCCCCAGGCAAAGTCTGCCCGCGTGGCTGGTCTGCTTCTGCGAAGTTGCACCCGCTACTATAGTTGCCGTTGGCCTCTGCTGCTTGACCCCAGTAGCCAGGCCCTTACCTGGTTGGACCCACTGCCTCCGGAAGAGAATAGTTCCTTGGTCTCAGCCCCTACCAAGTGCAGAGGTAAGCACAGTGCTTCTGGGGTGTATGAACTGCCCAACACTCTTAGCCACATGTGATCTTCCCTTTCATAATACACTAAAGACACTAAATTTTTGTGGCCAGGGGAGCCCAGATTTCACAGTCTTATACTATATTAATAAATTTGGTCACATTTACATTTTTTGCCCATATTACAGTGATCCTAAATCTACATGGCTGACCAGTCCATGATCTTCCATTTCCCTAGTCTACTCAGCACTATCGGGGACCTGGCCAACAACTCAGAGCTTTACTACCCAAATTTATTCCATGTTCAGAAATTCTGGGGAACTATTTATATTGGCCCTGCTTGGATCAGGGACCCATCTGGTTGGAGTGTTGGATGGAACACTTCCAAGGAGAAGGAAGAGAGGGTGTATATTTCCCAGAAGAAGGAGTTGGGGGCTGTGTTGGTCAGAATGATTGACATCCACAATGGGAGGTGTATAGTAAAGTAATCTATAACATGGAGTCTATAGTCAGACTATCTAGGTTCTAATATCTCATTTGTCAGCTGTGTGACCTAAGGCAATGTACTTAACCTCTCTAAGCCTAAGTGTATTTGCCAATAAAATAGAGGTCTTAATTATACCCATCTCATAAAGTGTTATATTAAGGAAGGTAATTTATGTAAAAGGGGGTCATACAGTGCCTAATATATAAGTCCTCAAAAAAGTTAGCCATAATTACTACTAATGTATTACTGCTACCATTATTCCAGTCTCCCTCCCCTGCTCCCTTGGCTGTCCAGCACAACTTTGCATTGTCTCCATACACCATTACAGAAATACCCATTATACAGCCATTACTTGTGTAATTTTAAATGAATTCACCCTCTTTCTCATAAAAGACACTCCAAAGAAACAGCTAGGTGCTGCCTCCAATTCTGAGTCCGGGGACTCTAATATTCATTGCTCTTGATCAATTCTAGATGTGTCTGTTCGTGGCTCTATAACCTATGATAGATTACATGCTAAATCTCACCAGGCCAGCAAAATCAGGATAGCTATAATAAACTTCCTGCTTAGAAATTGGGAAAGGGCAAGAAACACACACTGTATGTTGGTCTACAGCATATATCACATAATGCCAGACACAGATAGAAAGGCAATGATTAGCATTGTAACTGGAGTGAGTTCTTAGCCAGTTTGAGTGTCCTGGGTCCTGAAGAATAGTAGAATTTTTCTTGCCTGTTGTTCCCAGGGTGTTCTGTGAAAGTAAAGTTGAGGAGGAGTCCCCTGTTTGGAGCTGTTCTGCCTAAATACTCACTTCCTGTTGGAATGGGTATAGGGGTTTGAGATTTGCTTTAAAATTAAGCAAATGTAGATCCCTTTTCACCACACTCTGGGGATTTTCTGACTAATCTTTTTTCCTGCAGATTTCATTTGTAAGGACCATATTAGCTACTGACCAATGCCAAAAATCTTGGCACACTATCATCTTTTAATTTAAACCATACCGTCATGGCTTCTGTCTCTTTGGAATGGTTCTGGGGGCTCTACCCATTCCTTCAAGCCTTAGCTTACTGTCATCTGTCTAAACCTCTTCCTTCACCTCACAGCTGTAATAAGAAATTAGTCTAATTAGGTGAATCTGCCATGGAACGTAGCCCCTATTACTTGGCTGCACCTAAATCAATTGGGGAAGGAGGACTATTATCTTTGTTAAGCAGGGGATGCATATAGAGAAATGTTTTGTAGGGAGCTGGAGGATTAGGCTTCCTTGGTTCCCAGGCTCCTCCAATATCACATAATTTCCTATTCCATGCAGCATGAGATAGAGAATTTGGTTTTCACAGATCAGCAAAGTGCATGAATATCTGATCATCTGTGGTCTGGAATTGCTTGACATGAGCAGAAAGGAGTTCCCTTAACAAAGTTTTTTTCTAGAGGTTGTTTCTTATCTAAGGCTGCAAGAAGTATGCATGCTCTAATACCTTCTACTAAGTCCACTGACGCTCAGTGGGCATATGGTCCAAATCCCATGAGGTAAGCCAACTTCTTGCACACCACATAACCTAGCCGGCTTCTTAGCATGGAAAACAAAAATCCTTATTTCCCGCATAACTTATTATATCACTTAGGAATACTCTAAGCTGCAAGTAACAAAAACCCAATTTGCCACGGCTTAAACAAATTGGGATTTATTTATTTCACATTTTAAGCAATACTGAGATGGCAGTCTAGGATTAGTGCAAGACTTCAGCATTAACTTCAAACATCCAGATTCTTTATATCTTTCTGTTCTACAATCTTTAGCAAATTGACACATCACATTATAGTAGGTGAATGGTGTCCTCAAAAAAAAAAATATGTTCACATCCTATCCCTCAGAACCTGTGAATGTGACCTTATTTGCCAAAACAGTCTTTGCAGATATAATTAAGTTAAGGACCTTGAAATAAGATTGTTTTAGTTATCTAGTGCTGCTACAATAGAAGTACCACAAGTGGGTGGCTTTAACAAAAGAAATTTATTTTCTCACAGTTTAGGAGGCTAGAAGTCCAAATCCAGAACACCAGCTCTAGGGGAAGGCTTTATCTCTCTGTTGGCTCTGGGGGAAGGTCCTTATTCCATGGTTCCTTGGCAGTCTTCATGTGATGTGGCATCTGTCTTCCCCCATCTCCGCTTCTGCTTGCTTAAACTGCTCCTTTTATATCCCAGAAGAGATTGACTTAAAACACACCCTACACTAGTACTGCCTCATTAACATAACAAAGAAAACCCTATTCCCAAATGGGATTATAACTAGAGGTATAGTAGGATTTACAGCACATATTTTTGGGGGACACATTTCAATCCATAACAGAGATCATCCTAGATTAATCTGGTGGGCCCTAAATCCAATGACAAATGTCCTTATAAGAGACAGAAGAGAAGACACAGTAACATAGAGGAGACGGCAATGTGAAGATGGTGGCAGAGATTGGAGTTATGTAGTCATAAACCAAGGAATGCTTAGAACCACCAGAAGCTGGAAGAGGCACAGAAGGATTCTCCCCTAGAGTTTTTGGAGGGAGTGAGGTCGTGCGACACCTTGATTTCAAACTTCTAGCCTCCAGAACTGTGGGAGAATAAATTTCTGTTGTTTAAAGCCACCAAGTTTACAGTAACTTGTTATGGCATCCTAGAAAACTAATACATATGTCATGGTTGCAAGATGTCTGCTACACCTCCAGGCAGCATGTCAGAGTTAGTGCCAGCCATTTCTGTCCCTTTTGTCAGGAAAATAAGAGAACTTCCAGAAGTCTGAAGAGGCAAATATGGTAGGTAGAATTTTGGGCCCCATAACCCACCTATGTCCTCTGGTGTTACTCCCATGATTATGTTACTTTACATGGGAAAAGAGACTTTGCAGTTGTAATTAAGGTTACTAATCAGTTGACCTGAATATAGAGCTATCATAGAGCTAATATAGAGCTCTGGATTATCTAGGTGTGCCCAGTGTAATCACATGAGCCCTTATAAGCAGAGAAGCGGGGTAAAGGTAATCAAAGCACAAGAAGGATTCAATGCACCATTGAAGGTGGAGCGCTCTACAGGGAAAGTGTGAGAAGAAAATGAATTCTGCCAACAACCAGTAAGCCTGGAAGAGGACTGTGAACCCCAGATGAGAACTGAAGCCCCAGCTCATACCTTGATTTTAACCCAGTGAAACCCTAAGCATAGACTTCAGCCATGCTGGGTATTGTTTTAAGCCACTAAGTTTGTGGTAATTTGTTATGCAGCAATAGAAAACAAAGACACCAAAACTGTAGACCTGGCAATGCCCACCTGCAAGGGAATCTAGGAAAAACAAGAATTTATCTTTTCCAGCGTCTGAAGTACAGGAGGCAATGGAGAAGGGGGTTGGGAATGGCTGTTGTTAGCCAACCATCTGTGTCTGCCACACCATCCATGACTTGACTAATCAAAGTTTTTGGCCTTTCCTATTTACAAGTCACTACTTTCTGGCACTGATTTCTTTATTAGTGAGGACTCTTTTAGTTGCTAGTGACAGAATTATCTTAGGCAAAAAAAAAGGAAATGCATTGGCTCTTCTACCTATAGAAAGGACAGAAATGGAGCTGATTTCAGGAATGACTAGAACCCCTCCCTGGAATGTTAGAGTAATAATGACAGCTAACACTGGTGGCACAGTGGTTAAGAGCTATGACTGCTAACCAAAAGGTTGGCAGTTCAAATCCACCTGCTCCTTGGAAATCCTGTGGGGCAGTTCTATTCTGTCCTATAGGGTCGCTATGAGTCAGACTCGACTCGATGGCAATGTTTTTTGTTTTTTTTTAAACATTTGCTGAGTGCTTACTATGTACCTGTCTACTGCTTTATATGTATTATTTAATCTTCACAGCAACCCTATGGGATAGTCACTAATATCAACCCCATTTTGCAGGTAAGGTAATTGAGTCGTAGAGAACTTAAGCAACTTTCCTAAGGTTCTTGTGAATCTTTCCTCATGAGATTGAATTACTGGGTGAACACTGCTCCCTAGGAGCCTAACTTGTTCCCTAAGAACAGCTCCTCTGCATCTTTCTGCCACAGAGAATGGCCTTACGAGCAAACAAGAGAGAGAGTGTGAAGAGGGCACAGGAGCAGAAGATGATAGTAGTGAGGACAGCAATGAGACTGAGGACAAGACAGAAGAGCAGAAGGCAGAGGAAAAGGAAAATGAAGAGGAGAAAGAAGAAAAAAAGGAAGAAGAGAAGGAGAAAAAGGGGGAGGAGAAAGAAAAAAAGAAAGAGGAGAAAGAGAATAAAGCGTCAACGCCAGCCTCTGAGACTCAGTCTCCACCTCTTCCCCACCTTACAGTGCTGTCAGGTGCTGACCCAGAGCTGGGTCGTCAGCTCCAGGAGGCAGCTGCCAATGGTGAGAACTGGTCCCCACCCACCGTGTCCCTCTTTGTCCTCCCCCATTCTGTGACCTGACAGGCCTCTCATACCCCAATCTTAACCTCAGCTCCCATCCTTCATCCCAGACACTATGTTGAAGAGTCCTGAAGGGACACTCCTAGCAGCCAGTGGGGAGCCAGTCACAGCCAGATTTTGTGCATGGGGGGTGGGGTGTTGGGTGCTGGCATGGTGGGTAGGTTGTCCTTGTCTCTCTCCCTCACAGGCTTGCCTGTGCTACTGACCAACATGGAGCTAGGCCTAGGGTGCCAAGAACTGCAATGGCTGCTGCAGCGGGAGCAACTGAGCCCACCCCAAGTGCAGCCTGGCTTCTGTCTCTATCTGAGCACTACTCTCCCCCTCAGCACCTTGGGAAAAGGTGAGGCCCAGCAGGCAGGTTGCCAGGACAGCTTTGTGGTCACACTAGGCCCCCTGGACCAGCCCTAAGAGTACTTCACTCACCCTGGCCTAGAGCAGGTATAAGACTGTAGTAGGGAACCAAACTCCCTGTGCACCCCGCCCCCTGGCTCTGCCAAGGAGAAGTGGTTAAGTGGTTAAGCATCTCCCATGTAACCCCTAGTGCTAGGCTGTGACTTGCTGAAGGGGCTGAATGTGCTGGATCTGGGCCTAAACATGGACATACTAGAAGAACAGATGCTGCATGAAGTTTTGTGCATAGAGCGTCCTGAGCTCAAGACCCGCTGGCAAGAACTAATGAACAGAGCCTTGGATATTTGCAAAGCTGTAGAGGCTGCTGAGGTGCTTGGGGGCTTAGTCTATGGGTTGGGATGAGTATCGGAGGGGCCCAGGTATGGTGGTGGGGATGATTGTAGACATCTGGGGACTTGGTGGGAAAGGGCCAGAACCATGCAATGAGTGACTATGCAGGAGAAGCTGCTGACGATGCTGCTGTGCCAGAACTCAGAGAATCAGAAACCAGCCAAGTACCTGCGGAACATGGTGAGGGCCCAGGCAGAGCTATGTCAGCTACGTGCCCAGAGCGAGGAGCAAGAAGACCTGAGGCTACAGGAGATGGGGTTGTGGGCACCCTATCGGCGCGTGGTCCGGGATGGAATAGCCATAGTACAGGCCCTAAGCCCACTGCAGAACCTCCTGCCACTTTTCCGTCTGAGCCCAGAGAACTGTTTGGCAGCCACCAAGCAGGCTTTGGACAACATAAAGAAGCGTGAGACTCAGCCAGGTGAGGACATGGCCAGCCATCTGCTGCAGATGAAAACACAGCTGACCCGCCAGCTGCTAGACAGTACTGTGGCTGCACTGGGCTTGACTCGAGTGCCCTTGGTGGGTGCCTTGGGTGCTTTGGCTCTGCTGCAGGCAGCAAGAAAGGCACCAGAACTGGAGAGGCTGGCACTTTGGCCTGGACTGGCAGCTTCTCCCAGCACAGGCCACAGCCAGCATATCCCAGGTGTAGTCCGACCAGCCTGGCTAGGGCTGAGAGCCTGGCATGAATGTGGGATGTTAGAGCTGCTGCCCCCATTTGCTGGTCTGCGTGCATCCCTGGCAGGCCACTCCAAAATTTGGCAGGCTTACCTGTCACTGTCATCCACAGTGCTGGGTCCTACACCTGGGCCTGGTCCTGATCCCCTCAGCCTCCTCCAGAAGCTGATCCTGTGGCGTGTGCTGCGACCTGAGTGCCTGGCAGGTGCCTTGGCAGACTTCACCACCAGCCTCCTGGGCCGGCCCCTGGATGAAACACTTGGTGCCCCCACCATGCCCTTCGAACACAGTCGGGCTACTCAACCCATGTTGATCTTGTTGCCACCGCCTGGCCACCCTACAACCACCCTGCATCCCCTGACTGTCATCCAGAAACTAGCTGCCAAGCATAAGCAGGTTTGGGCCTAGCCTCTTGACCATAGAGTGACCTGGTGCTCCTATGGGCTGGGATGGGGTGTGTGGATTCCCCTTCCACCCCATAATTCTCATGGATCTTTTTTGATTACTCAGGGTCTTTGGGGATCATTGTGGCCTTACTCTGGGTTCCTTGGGTTACCCCAGAATCACTTTTAGTCACTCTGCCATTTGTCTATTGGTCCCAGGGGCGGAAAAATCTGCAGGTGATAGCCCTGGGCTGTGAAGCCTGGGACCCGGTCCCAGTTGTGGTCAGCACTCTATACCAGGCTATGCACAAGGGGCACTGGCTGGTGCTGGATAACTGTCATCTGATGCCCCACTGGCCGAAAGAGCTACTACGGCCCTTGCTGAGTCTGTTTGACGGAGCTAAGGGTGGGTCTGCTGCCTAGGTATGGCTTCTGGGACTCTGTCTACCCTACCGCTTGGCCTGAGCTTGAATTCTCAGGCCCCATGGCTGATTCCCTAGCCCCAAGCCTGTTCCCTTGGCTTTAAGTCTGACTGCTGACCCCTCAGCCTCAAGCCTAATCCTCAGACCTGTGTCTGACCCCTCACCCCAGGCCTGATCTCAGCCCCATTTCTGACCCCTAGTGGTCTCGGACTTGGAGTTGGAACTGCTTTTAGCTCAACCTGCAAGCAGGAATGTGAGCGTTGTCCACAGGGATTTCCGTCTTTGGCTTATTGTATCTGCAGAGGCTATTGCTTCCTTGCCAGGTGAGGCGCCTCCCCTTACAGGCTTTCATATTGAAGAGGGCAACTGTGATGTGCTAACTCAGTACTCTCCTTTCTCCCCAGTTGTGCTCACTCAGCACTCCATGCCTGTTTTCTGGGACCAGTCCCTGGAGCTGGGCCATGTCCTGATTGACAGTGTGGAGCTAGCCCAGCAGGGCCTCTGCATGCCACCCACAACCCAGGCACTGCCTCTGCTCCTCCTACATGGCCTCCTGCTCCACCGTCAGCTCTATGGACTGAGGCTGCAGGCACACAGGGGGCGCTGGTGAGTAGGCCAATTATTCAACCTAGTCAGTGGATTAGTCACTCAGCAAACATTGAATATCTTCCCCTCATCGGGATAAGACAAGTTTATCTCTGGGGTGCTGCAAAGTGTATGGGCAAGGAGAAGTCAAGGAAGGCTTCTCTCAGGACTTCGGGATCTCGCTTTGAATTTCGTCTGGAAAGCAGAGGCAGATCTGGTGGGGATGGGGCCTTTCTGAGTAGAGAGAACTAAGCTTAACAGGAGGGAGAAGACATCAGTGTGATTGAAGTGGACATTCTGGGGGATGAGTAGGGAGAGGTAAAACTGGTCATAAAGGACCTTATAACCATGGCAAGGGGCCGAATTTTATTCTGAGGACAATTGGAAGCCACTAAAGGGTTTTAGGTAGAAGAAATATGATCCTATTAGTCTGTTATAAAGATCACTCTGGCTGCAGTGTGAATGGACCATCGTGGGCAGGGCTGAAGGCAAGCAGGGAGTTTTAGGAGGCTGTGGCAGTCTCCAAGGGAGGAGATAGTGATATTGGTGATATGGGCACCCGGGGTAGCACAAATAGTTAAGCACTTGACTACTAGCCAAAAGGTTGGCAGTTCAAACCCACCCAGAGGTGTCTCAGGAGACAGTCCTGACGATCTGCTTCCAAAAGGTCACAGCCTTGAAAACCCTATGGAGCAGTTCTACTCTGTACACACGAGATCACCATGAGTGAGAATCAACTTGAAGCAGCTAACAAGTCAACTAACAACAAGTTATAGTGAGGATAGAGAGTAAATATGGGGTGGGGAGGTCAGTGAGGATGAAGGAGGAATCAAGGATGGCTTCCAGATTTCTGCCTTGGAGAGCTGGGTGGCTGGTGGTACCAGTCAGTGGGATAGGAGGTAGAACAGATTTCGTGGAGAAATGATTTCAGTTTGAAATAAAGTTGTATTTGAGGTGAGCCCTTATGACTGGGGAGCTCAGGTAAAGATTTGAGAGTCTTCAGCACATGGATGGCATTAGAAACTCTTCCTGCTCCCGTCCCCAGGAATCAAGACACCCTGACCCAGGTCCTTCAGACCCAGAGCCAACTGTGGGCCAGGCTCAGTAATCCCAATGCTGCCATGCAGGAGCTGGCTGGTGAGACTTTTGCTATCCCTCATGCAGTTAGACATCAGCCCCCAGGATAGCCTGTAAAGAGGTGTGGGGTAGGGTACTGAGAGATTGGGACGTAATTCACAACTTTGTTTGGGGGTGGGGAAAACTGGAGGGGATGAACTGGAACTGAGGGGCTCTGACCTCATCCTCAGCTTCGGTTTTCTATGGAGGTCCTGTGGGGGATGTGGAGGACAGGGAGGCCCTGATTAGCCTCACTGAAGCCTGCCTGAGCCCTAGTAGTGGGAGCTGGACCTACCCACAAACACCCCAGCATCTACTGGCCACTCTGATGCCCAGCCCAGGTAAGCCACCGTCTGGTATCTGTGTTGGGGTGGGGGAGGAGTGCAGTGTAATGTATGTGGACAACAGTACCAATAAAGGTATATGAGGCGGCAATATTCACACACTTATGGCAATGATGGGGTAAAGGGCCGAAAGGCCTACCCCCTCCGTCTGGGGTGGGGAAGTCCACCTGTCTCTCATCTCTCACCTCCACTCCCAAGACCTAGGGGAGCTGGATGCTATGGCAGAGTGCAAGGCCCGGGTGCACCTACTGCCCACACCACCCGAACCCCGGACCTGTGGACTAAGTGCGGGCCCCCAGTCCTGGCTGTTGCGACGCCAAAGTCGCGCTCTCCTGAGCGCGCTGCAGCGGAGTTCACCCACTTGGGTTCCTGAGGTTCGCGGAGGCGCGGGGCGCACGGAGCGGCGGCTGCGGCAACGCCTAGTGCAGGTCTCGCTGAGACTGGAGTCATTGCAAGCTCTGCTGGCCGCGAACACTCACCAAGGCGAGCCTGGCGCCCCAGGGGCGGTGCTGGGGCCGGATGCGCGGCGGCCTCTGGAGGGCCTCCTAGAGACCGAGGCACTGGAGCTGAGCAAGCTGGTGGGCACGCTGCAACGCGACCTTGACTGCCTGTTGCAGCAGCTGAAGGGCGCGCCCCCGTGCGCTTCCCGGCGCTGTATTGCGGTGGCCCGGGCTCTCTGGACTGGCCGCCTACCCCCACCTTGGCGACTCCATGCGCCCGCCGGCCCGCAACAGCCCTGGCACTGGCTGCGACAGCTGTCGCGCCGTGGGCAGCTGTTGACCCGCTACCTAAGTGTGAGCGCCGGCACCGAAGTACCAGAGCGCGTCTTCCACCTGTCAGCCTTTTCCCACCCGCGCCGCCTGCTGCTGGCACTGCGTTGGGAGGCTGCTCTGGACTCGTATCCGTCCAGCCCGAATTTCCCTGGTAGTCAAGGTTCCGGCTCCACTCACTGTCCCCATAAACGTCAGGAGCTGAACAGCAACCCTCTGCATCTCAAGGTATTCGCGCCGCCCCTTCGCTTCCGATACCGCCCTTCAAAGCCCTAGACTCCACCTTACAGTTATCCCATCGCGCCTGTTCCTGATCTTGTCCCTCCGGTGACCTCACCCAGTTCTCCCACCCTGCTCCAAGATCCCCAGCTTCTTAGCCTTGCCTAACCAGTCTCTGGCGCTCCCAGGTGGAGAACGTTCCAAATCCCACTGTTCCAGAGATGGGGCTGCTGCTGATCGGGCTACAGCTCCTGAATGCCGAGTGGGACCCGATAGCTGGGGCTGTGCAGGACAGTCCCTCCAGCCAACCCAGCCCTCTGCCTCCAGTCAGCGTCAGCGCGCAGGCCCGGGTCGCAAATGACCTGCCTACTACAGGTGGCCTCGCTGTGTACTCCTGCCCTGTGTACATGGAAGGGCCCCTTGGCATCACGAGGCTGCACAGCAGGAACATCCTGATGCACTTGCCCCTCCCCACGAAGCTCAGCCCCGCCATCTGTGCCCAACGGAGAGTTCATGCGTGCAGCCCACCCCTGTCCTGAGCCCTCAACCAAAATAAAGTTGAGTGATTCCACGAAAGGCTTCTGAGATTTGCAAGAAGAGTGGGGTGTGTGCGCCTAGAACGTGAGGTACTGAGGGGAGAGCCCAGTGTGGGCACGACTGAGGCAACAGGAGGGTATGCACATGGGAGAGGAGGTAAAAGAGGGTGTATGCCCTGCAACTAGAGAGAGGGGAGAGTGGGCACACGGAAGGGAGAGTGTCCTGGTGTTTGACCTGACAATGACCAACACCTAGAATCCTTAATCCTTGTCCAGCTCTCTACTGTGGTCTCAGCACTGTGCTAAATCCACAAGTAGGATTTTTGTAGGGAGAACATTAGAATTCAAAATGTTTTTCAAAGTTATCTAATGGTATTATTGGGAGTCATCCCTTCCCTAGTCTCTGAGTGAGCCATACACACAAGATACACAAGGTCCTGTGTTGATTCAACAATTCTTTACTGAGCACCCCTCTGAGCCAGGTGTTTCACCAGGAACCGGTAAAGTTGTTTTAATGTAAGGAGATAGGCAAGAGAAGGTCAACATTTAAATAAGTTAACTTTATTTTTAAGTGCTATAAAGAAAATAAAACAGGGTGATGTGTTAGAGAGTAGCTAGAAGGGAGCAGTCAATATAGTTCAGATGGTGTGGGGTAAAGAATTTAGTTTACCCGAAGAATCTGGTCTTTGTCCTTGGTTCCTGAGAAATAACCTGTAAAATTTTGGAACTTCTCTAATGATAGAAGTGTATTTTATTTATAAGGGCCACTCTCACTTCCAGGATTTCCCCTTCTAAATTTTTAGCTGCCCTACCAGCCCTTAACTCTGTCCTCTGCTACTCTGTGGCAGTAAAACAAACAAACAAACAAACAAACAAAAACCCATTGCCATTAATTCTAACTGTGATTTTTGACCTTTGGAGCTGGGGTGGGGTGGAGTTGGGAAACACCTTCACAAGATCACAAAATCACAATTCTTACCCATTGAAGTTAAGTTGAGGTCTTTCAAGGGTACATTCTCATCTAGTTTCTGCCTGCTTTTGGTCACTTTCCAGGGCCTTCAAAGTTTTTTGGTTTATATTTTGTTCAGATTTTATAGTTAATTGTGGGATAACTGGGCTGATAAATTCACTCGGAATCAGGAAACAAGACTCACATTTACATCTGTAAGGGAACACTGGTAAGAAAATTCTTCCCAGAATTTTTTGTGGTAGCAAGAATTTGAAGATAACCTAGATGTCCTTAGCTGGAGGAATGTTGTTGTTGTTGTTAGGTGCCGTTCAGTCGGTTCTGATGCATAACGACGCTGTGTACAATAGAACAAAACACTGCCTGGTCCTGTGCCATCCTCAGAATCCTTGCTATGCTTAAGTCCATAGCGTCTGGGGGAATGGATATGTTAAATGTTCTAACTACACACTTTGGAATACTAAGCAGACGTCACGCGCAATTCATTCATTCAATTATTTACCGAATACCTAACATGTGCCAGGTATGTACTAGATTCTAGGGACACAGCATTGAGTGAAACAGATCAAGTCCCTGCTGTCTTGGAATTTACATTCTAGTGTGGGGACATATACAATAATCATATAAACATGCAATAACAAAGGTGGTAGGTTCTTTGGAGAGGTGGTATTTGAACAGAGACCCAAATGAAGTGAGGAAGTGAGCCATGTAGATATCTGGGGGAAGAGTATTCCAGGCAGATGGAAGAGTAAGTAAAATGAGCAGGCCTACAGTGTTCAATAAATAGCAACAGAGATAGTGTAGCTGGAGAGATGTGAGTGAATTAGGCGAGTGTTAAAGAAATAAGGTCAGAGAGGTAATTGGAATCCAGATAACAGAAAGGAGTTGTAGGCCACTGTAAGGACTTTGCATCCTATTATGAATGAGACAGGAAGTCATTAGAGCATTTTGAGAAGAGGAAACAGTGAGTTATAGGTCCATATAACAACGTGAATGGAAGTACTGTGTTGAATAAAAAAGTAAGATTTATAGCATAATATCATTTATGCTCACTCATGAACATACATACAAAAGTCCCACACAAAATATTATCAAACTGATATTTGTAGTATATAAGAGAATAATAATCTACTAAGTTGATTTTATTCCAAGAATTCAAGGCTAATTTCACATATGAAAATGATTCTGTTATTTGCTACATTGACAGAATAAAGAAAAAAAAATTATATGATCTTCTCTATTTACAAGCATTGGACAGAAGTTAAAATCTAATTCATGGTAAAAATAATAGCAAACTGAAAAGCACACCATTAATCTGACAGAGAATGTTTCCAAAAACCTTACTGGAAATATCACACTAATAACGAAATGATGAAAGATTTTCCTTGAGTTTGAGAATGAGAAAAGGACACTCACCAATACAACTTCTGTTGAACATAGTAATGGATCTCCTGGCCAGTGGAGTAAGGAAAGAAAAAGAAATAAATGAGATAGAATTGGAAAGGAAGAAATAAAATTGTGATTATTTGGAAAAGATATGAGTATGTAAAAAATCAAAAAGAATCTATAGATAACTTATTAGGATTAAGAAGTGAGGTGAGCAAGGTTGCTGCTCCATGGTAAACAGACAGAAATTGGTTGTATTTCAATATACAGCAAGCAGAAAATGAAAAAGATCCCATCTGCAATTCATTTTTCAGAAGAGTAAATACCTAAGGATAAATATAACAAAAGATGTGCAAGACCTTTACATATACATCTATGAAACATTATTGAGAGCAATCAAAGAAATGGAGCATATAGACCATGGAATTGGAAGATTCAGTATTATACATATATCAATTCTCCCCAAATGATTTAGTGGGATCTGTCACAATCAAAATGTAACTGATAAAATGAATATTACGACTTTCTGATGTGAGTTTTTTCCACAATTAAGATTCAAATTCATAAGATAGGTGGGAAGTGTTGACGAGCATCTGGCAAGATAATTAAATGTTTGAAACACCCTGAAAGAAACAAAGTTTTTGTGATCAAGAGTAAAGTGGATAGGATGCCCAGAGAAGACAAATTAGCCAGAGTTGTCATCGTTGTTAGGTGCCACCAAGTCGGTTCACTCACAGGGACCCTATGTACAACAGGACAAAACACTGCCCTGTCCTGCACCATTCTCACAATCATTGTTACGCTTGAGCCCACTGTTGCAGCCACTGTGTCAATCCATCTAGTTGAAGGTCTTCTTCTTTTTCGCTGACCCTCTACTTTATCAAGCATGATGTCCTTCTCCAGGGACTGGTCCCTCCTGACATCATGTCCAAAGTACATGAGACGAAGTCTCGCCATCCTTGCTTCTCATGAACACCCTGGCTGTACTTCTTAGAAGACAGATTTGTTTGTTCTTTTGGCAATCCATGGTATATTCAATATTCTTCGCCAACACCACAATTCAAAGGCATCAATTCTTCTTCAGTCTTCCTTATTCATCATCCAGCTTTCCCAGGCATATGAGGCGACTGAAAACAACATGGCTTGGGTCAGGTGACATCTTTGCTTTTCAACACTTCAAGGAGGTTGTTTGAAGCCGATTTGCCCAATGCAATGCATGTTTTGATTTCTTGACTGCTGCTTCCGTGGGTGTTGATTGTGGTTCCAAGTAAAATGAAATCCTTGACAACTTCAATCTTTTCTCTGTTTATCATGATGTCGCTTATTGGTCCAATTGTGAGGATTTTTGTTTCCTGTATGTTGAGGTGTAATCCATACTAAAGACTGTGGTCTTTCATCTTCATAAGTAAGTGCTTCAAGTCCTCTACTTTCAGCAAGCAAGGTTCTGTCATCTGCATAACACAGGTTGTTCATGAGTCTTCCTCAAATCCTGATGCCCCATTCTCCTTCATATAGTCCAGCTTCCCAGATTATCTGCTCAGCATACAGATTGAATAGGTATGGTGAAAGGATATAACCCTGCTGCGCACCTTTCTTGACTTTAAACCATGCAGTATCTCCTTGTTCTGTTCAAACTATTGCCTCTTGATCCATGTACAGATTCCTCATGGGCACAATTAAGTGTTCTGGAATTCCCATTCTTTGTAATGTTATCCATAATTTGTTACGATCCACATATCAAATGCCTTTGCGTAGTCAGTAAAACACAGGTAAACATCTTTCTGATACTCTCTGCTTTCAGCCAGGATCCATCTGACATTAGCAATGATATCCCTGGTTCCGCATCCTCTTCTAAATATGGCCTGAATTTATGGCAGTTCCCTGTTGATATACTGCTGTAGCCACTTCTGAATGATCTCCAGCAAAATTTTCCTTGCATGTGATATTAACGATATTCGATAATTTCTGCATTTGGTTGGAGCACCTTTCTTGGGAATAGGCATAAATATGGATCTCTTCCAGCCGGTTGGCCAGGTAGCTGTATTCCAAATTTCTTGGCGTAAGCACTTCCAGCGCTGCATCCGTTTGTTGAAACATCTCAGTTGGTACTCTGTCAATTCCTGGAGTCTTGTTTTTCACCAGTGCCTTCAGTGCAGCTTGGACTTCTTCCTTCAGTACCATCAGTTCCTGATCAAATGTTACCTCCTGAAATGGTTGAACGTCAACCAATTCTTTTTGGTATAGTGACTCTGTGTGTTCCTTCCGTCTTCTTTTGATGCTTCCTGTGTCATTCAATATTTTACCCCATAGAATCCTTCAGTATTACAACTGAGGCTTGAATTTTTTCTTCAGTTCTTTCAGTTTGAGAAATGCTGAGTGTGTTCTTCCCTTCTGGTTTTCTATCTCCAGGTCTTTGCACGTCATCAAAATACTTTACTTTGTCTTCTCAAGCTGCCCTTTGAAATCTTCTGTTCAGCTCTTTTACTTCATCGTTTTTTTCCTTTTGCTTTAGCTACTTGACATTCAAGAGCAAGTTTCAGAGTCTCGTCTGACATCCATTTTGGTCTTTTCTTTCTCTCCTGTCTTTTTAATGACCTCTTGGTTTCTTCATATATGATGTCCTTGATGTCATTCCACAACTCGTCTGGTC